CTTAGTCATTTAAAGGACGCCAAGGATGCTAACCCTTCATACCTCTCTTCTGCCGTCTCCTAGACGGATTTCACAATTAGTGGTCGGACAGAGCTGACTAGTTTTTATAGACAGTATCCTGACGAGTCATTGCCACTGAATTTCTTGTTCTTCCTGATCACAGCAATAATCCTCCTAAATCTCTCACGCGCTCACTGAGGTGGAAAATTCCATTTTTCTAGCTAAGTAAGCACAGGGGGAAGTTCTTATGCGGTACTGAGAGATTCAGTAATAACAAGAGAAGTATGTCAACTAACATGTCAATGATAGTTTCTCCAACTTGTTTGGACACCCGTGCTGAGTCCTCCTCCTCTCCTTGGGCTGGGGCAGCGCTGGTTTTTTTTCACATGGAGGATAATTAACAACTGGGAAATGGGGTTACCAGGAAAGATGGTTGAGGCCCGCATGCTAGAGACCTGCTGGGCACAGAGAGACTCGAACAGAAACTCTCACTACAGTCAAGTATTGTATTTTGATTGTTTTAAAGTTTAACAAGATGATCTGATTCACCAGCTCAGGAAAGCGGATTAGTAATCAGTAAGAGATCTCTCATGCACTTCTGGCCTGTGTATGCACATTATACTTATATAATATTTAACAATATAATCCTTGCATTTAATATACCTCCTTATTGCGTCGTTGAGACATCTGAAAGAGCTTCACAGGATACACTGAAACGTGAATGAATCCACTGTGCTTTGTGAGCGAAACGTGGCAGCCAATTGGGCACAGTGATAGGTAAAATGCGCTGAAACATCTTACTGCATAATCAGTGACTTTCGAACGCAGTGACTGTGGTGGAAGCGGGCAAATGATTCCTAAACACCCCACAAACGGCAAGGGTTTAAAGCTACAGTTTTTTTTTGCTTTCGGAATTGCATTGGGTTCCAATGGAGTTCAATTCAATCGTGAATTTAATCACACACAATACATGCTTAATCCACGGTTTGCACGCAATCCAATTAGTTTCTAAAAACACGGCCTAATGACCTCTACCCCTTCCTCCCCGCTTCCCTTCACAAACAGATTCAGTGTTGAAAGTAATTACAGATATTTACTCACAGCATCCGTAATCGTGTTATTAGTGCTAATGTTGGATATTCAGCACAGTGCGCTCTGCACACAGTGCATCCTCCACCAACCAAAGTGGGTTATTTATTTCTGCATTAAAGCTCATGCCTCACGCAGTAAAACCTGTTCTGAGCGGACATTTGTAACGCTGAATCCAACTTAAGGCAATTTCAGTGTCAGCAGGGCTCAGTTGGTAGCATCCTCTTGTGTGAGTCAAAGGCTGTGGGTTTAAGACACACATTAGGACTTGAACTCCTGGTCCAAACTTGCACTCCAGATATGGTGAAGTGTTGCCTTTTTAAAGGTGCTACCTTTCAGATAAGCTGCTAAACCTCTTGTGCTGTACGTCTATTCGGATGGATGATAAAGTGAGTTTATCCTGGTGTCCTGGCCATCAATCATGCAAATAAATTGATCCTTCTCTTCATGGCTGTTTGTGGGACCTTGATGTGTTTTCCAAAAATACACACTAATTGAGCTGTTTCAATGTTTTAGGCGTGATATAAAATGCAAGAATTATTTATTTATAACATGTCTGTTGAATCCAGGTACAGGATTCACCGTAAATTGCTAACCTTCTGAACAGTTTATACCTGTAGGTTATATGTAAATTACAAGACAAATTGATAAGGTTATGTGAAAAATTGAGTGCATTAAAATAGGTGAATAATGAAATGTCAGATAAATTGCAGTGACATACTCTTATATTCAAGTCCACACACACACATATATAAAAAGTAATAATAATTTGGTCACTCAATCCACGACTGTTTGTAAGACGCTGCTGTGCACAATTGTCTGCTGCGTTTCTCCCACAAAATATACAGTCAATTCACCTTGCAATATATTCTGTGAAGCGCTTTGAGTCGTCTCAAAGACATGATAAGGTGCTATATCAAATGCAAGAATTATTATTATATTATTGTATCTCCCATAGACGATAACAAGCGTTGTTTTCTATAATTATTATTTATTTATTTATTTACGTTGTTTATTTTCATGCATAAAAACATACAATCGTTGATTACATAATTCCGTACAAGTAAAACCAGAAGACTTGTTACTTACGTTGTAATGACTATTAGTTTTAGAGATAATTTCTGAAAGTTAACGGAATATGTTTAGGCTTGTATTCTGTCTTGACTGTGCTGGTTTAGCTACGTTGCAATATTCTAGGAGGAAGAAAGAAAACTGAAAGGAGTCAGCGCTCCAACATTGTTATCTTATGTGAAGGGCGCTATAGGAATGCAAGTTGTTGTTGTTGTAATTACTGTCGGTGTAGGACAAACTTTTTGTAGGACAAACAATTAATCAGGGGAAGTTAAAAAAAAATTACACCAATTTCCCTCAACCCTTCCTGTTGACTCTTTATTGAGGAAGCGTTCCAATGGTACAAGTTTAAAGTTTATTAAAAGTTTCTACGTGCTCACAGTTTGTGTGTGAACCTGGTCAGGGAATGTTGGCAGGCGTTTATAGGAGGGATTGCATCCAAGATTAATGTGATTCGTACTTGACGTCCACTGCATGTGGACTTTTAACAGGGGTCATCGGCTGGTGATTGGATCCAGGTACACTGGCTGAACATCCCCACTCTGAGGCCAATTGTATCACTCCTTCTACTGCACTGACCGAGATAAACAAAATCAGCACAGACTGGGAATTGAGTCTGATTTATGAGGCTCAGCTAATAATAATAATAATCCTTGAATTTGACATAGCACTTTTCACGTCTTCTAGACGTCTCAAAGGGTTTCACAGAATACACTGTAAAGTGAATTGACTGCATTTTTTGTGGGCGAAATGCAGCAGCCAATTGCGCACAGCAGTGTCCCACAAACAGTCGTGGATTGAAGTGACCAAATTATTTTCTTGAGGGATTATTATCAGGCATGTGGAGTAAGGAAACTTGCCCATGTTTTCGCCCTGCCGGGAATTGAACCCAGGTCTCTTCGCTTGTGAGGCGAGCGCTCTAACCACTGTGCTACAGGACTCCAGCTATTTGGAGTATTAGCTCTTTGTCCCTTCAGCAGAGCTGCAAGATTGATTAACTGCTATTAGTTGAATACTGTACCAGAAAATAATGTCAAAAAAACACATTAGCATCCTTGTTCTTTATATGTTTATATTGGGATTATCTATTATGGATTGTTCTTGCCTTTAAAATTGCAACGATTTTCATTTCAGCATTCGGGTCCGCATGTTGGTTTGACGTTGTAGAGCTTGGCACGTCTGTAACTTACTGACCTGAAAATGTGAGTAAATGCTCCAAATCTGTCCACTTATCGCTGTGACCCACGATTTGAGTTTAATCCACTCTTTGCCCGGCGACCTCAAAGCCACTCGGAATCCATTCCACGCAAGATTATCTCACCGAATCCTCTCCAAACCCTCCTTGTACCAAGATAAGTCGAGAGGGATTTTGTGTCTGTTTGTTGTGTAGGAACTTACTTGTATGACCAGGTGGAGGCAGGGAACGCATTCACAGATTGTGTTACAGTTTGGTGATTTGATTCTGTAGTTTTATCCATTGGATTTAGGTATAAGTTACAAATCTCAGTCCTTGTTGGGATTTTCATCCTCGTGTTCCATTACACCCAGAATGCCCCATCCCTTGGCCATTGCTACCTCAGCAGTCTGAACACGACAACGCTGGCAGCAAGAATGTGGATTCATCTGATCTATTTTCTTGCAGTAAACCAGCATTGTCGTGTTCAAACCCAATAAATATAGTTTTGTTTTGGCCAGCCAGGTGTGCAGAAACTCTTCGCCACGGTTAAGAATGTAATAATAATCCTTGCATTTGATATAGTGCCTTATTACGTCTTCGAGACGTCTCAAAGTGCTTCACCGAATATACTGTAAAGGGAATTGACTCTATATTTTGTGGAAGAAACGAGGCAGCCAATCGTGTGCAGCAGTATCCCATTAAGCAATATGCAAACCAGAGATTCATACATTCGTGCTGCCCACTCGTGAAAATTTCCCCAAACAAATTGGTCTCTGAACAAAAGTCGTTCCTAATAAAAATAATAATAATACTATTTCAATAGCCTAGTGAGAACAAGATACAGTTCAAATAGAAAGCTCGAGCTTCCCTTTAGGGAAAAGTTCATATCATTAAATTTGTGTATTATTCCAAAAAATAATTACATTATCTCAATGGATTCCATTATGAATACCTAATTGTTACTTATACAAAATTAATGGTCTTTACAAGTCCATCCTATGGGGAAAGAGAAGCCATGAATAAACATAAGTATACACTAGCTATAGGGGGCTGTAGCACCATTCACATCAGCACTTCTTTGCCTTGCAGATCGTTCTTAGAGGTTGGAAATGGGTTTCTTCTTTGTGTTGTGCCATACAAACCAATGGCACGACACAAATCAAGAGAACATTAAGTGGACATTGCTGTCCATCAATCAATCAATCAATCAATCAATCAATCGATCCATCAATCGATCAACCACCTGTTGCTGTTGTTTCACATTCTAAATGCAACTAAGTACTACCCAGCGACGTTAGAATTATATTAAATGCATATAATGGACTTTACCATTTAGCAAATTCTTAAATGCTGCTTTAATTTTGAATTCTGTATGTCTCTTTTAAGAACTACAGAAAACCAACTTTGAAGACATATGAATCAAGACCCTTCTTCCCATTGGCTTTGTTGTTAATTGTATGACAACAAGTTGGATTATGTTGTATTGGATTATATTGCTTAACCTTATGGTACTGTGTTAAACAATAATAATCATAATAATAATCCTTGCATTTGACATAGCGCCTTATCATGTCTTCAAGACGTCTCAGAGGGCTTCACAGGAATATACTGTAAAGTGTAGTGACTGTGTGTTTTGTGGGCGAAATAATTCATACACAAGTTATTTTTGTTGAAGAAAGAAACAACCTTTATTAAGGATATTGTTAATTGAAGCACATTAGAAGCTTACAGAATGGCAGAAAAAGGAAGGCAGAAGTCTAAACTACAGCTCTCTAATCAGCAGGTTTCTACCAGGGCAGCAGCAGAGAGCAAGAAATTAGAAACTAACAGCGTGTAGACAGTTAAAAGCACATGAGGTACTAATAGGGTATTAAACAGCATACAGTTGCAGGACTGAGAGAACATTGAGGCGATGAAGCCTGAGAAAATCCAGGATATCTCAGGTTGAAAGAGCATCATGCACCCAATGGCTGAGCAAAGTAATGGCGTTTGATGAAGGGCTCAATGGCCTTGAGGAATGGTGGCATTTTGGACAGAGGGAAATGGAGAGTTGAAGGCGCAGCAAAACTAGGGTTCCTTGCACCAAGAGGAAACCAGATACCCTAATTCTGAGCCAAGTACCTAGGACTAAAATTAGGGCATCAGAAACTCAAGGGCTTAAAAGGAGAACATTCCTTAGTCCAGGCCATGGGGTCATTGTGGACCCAAAGTCAATCCTCTGGGTTCAGGCAATGTTTTTTTGGGGGGTGGGGGAGGCAAAGAAGTCTCTCGATCCTGTAACTTCAGGCTGTTTTAGAATCTTTTTACAACACACCCTGTTCCTAGGGCATTGGGAAGCCCTAAAAAAGAGCGGTTTTTATTCATTTTATTTTATTTTTTTTTGTGATTTTTTTTAACAACTCCCTTACACCCCCAACAACTCACTGCTATTATTTCACATAGTTATTTGAATGAGAGCTGCCGTTTCGTTCACTCCGATTGAAAAACACACACACAACAGGTCTGCTCCTGTGCATGAGAAAAATGCACTTGGGGGCTGGGACATTAACGCTGTCATTTCACAGGGAGTTTCCTATTACTTTCAATGGAAGGAAGGTCAGGGTGTGTTATAATCTATTGCACAGGGCACCAGCTAAAGGACTATGTACAAGTGGAGTTATAAAAAGGATTTGGAGCGTACACATGGTATACAACCTATAATTCTTTTCGGTATGGTAGTACTTGCGTACATTCCACATGTTGTTTGCTGCAGATGTGGCATGAGGTTCTGTATTCCCAGAATCCGTAGATTTCAGCCTCCGAGCCCTTCATTTAGTACAGTGCACCTGTGTCATGCCAGAGTCACTAGAATATAAGACGAAGGAGAGAACTTGCACAATTTGGTTTCGATATAGTCCTGACAACAAGCGCATCGACTCGACGGGCTCAAATAGGAAATCTACCTCAAAAGTAACAACATCGATGATTTTATGTACAAACCTTTTTTTTTGTACTTATTCATACAAACAAGGGGTGGGATTACAGAGCATAGGGAGATTTGTTTTCACCTTTGCACTCAGTGACTTTGTACTTTGTCAGATCATGTCTATAGCTCATGCACTGGACCGCTCCCCACCTCCCCTTAAATCTTTCTAACCTTTTTTCGAGAGAGGTTGCTGAATAAGAACAATCGTGCCTGTCTTGAATTCTGGCTGTGAGCAGCTAGACTGAAACTCACTCAATACAGGAGCCTGAAACAGCTATCAAAGAGAGCAAAAAAAAAATCCCTTCATGCCTAGGTTGGGACTGACCCATGTTCCAGAGGTAAAAGGGGTTTGAACACACTGCACCTCCCAACCTTTATCAGCCAAAAAAATACCTTTATTCCTTCTCTGTCTAGGCTTAATTTGCTTCTCCCACCCCCCTCCGCATCATATAAATAAACATTGTTTTTAATATACTAGAACACTAAGTCCTCTCTATATAGAAATTTCCTATATTATTAAACAATAAAAGCAGGACATAGTAGCCACAGATCTGTATATGGAGTGTCGTGTACATTTGATCATTTATATATTTATACAGCAGTATGTGCTGTATTTATGTGCAGCTCTTAAAAAAAGGAATGTTAGCTATTCAGGACAATACATACATTTTCTTTTTTAAAAAAAAACTTGCAGTTTGCAACAAATCAAATGGGCTGTTTCTAACCCTTTTCGTCGCAGCTCCCTTTGAACATATTGCAGCAAAGAGATATGACAAGTTTATCAAAGTGTTCAGCAAGAAAGTGTTTTAAGCAAACACTAATCTCAACAATATTTATAGGAAATACATATTACAGGAAGTCTTTCAAAATAGCTTTGAAATGTAAATGGAATACTGGCAAGGAGAGTTTATATTAAGGATGTGGAAGATTATTATTACATTAGATTAACTCTATTAACAAGAATGATGAATTTCTGTACAAATCTATTCCTGATAAAAACTACTTCTGTACCAGATTGAGAAGAGGAGAAACAAGAAATGCAACAAAAATTTCAGTTACCTTTATCTGCCCAGGGTTGGTTTTTTTTTGGATACCTTTTTTGCTTCTTGTAGTATTCCAAAAAGCAAATCAAATTTTTTTTGTGTGTGTGCCCATGCGGCAAAGCAAATTAAAGAGCACACAAGGAATGTCCATCTCTCTCGTGATATCGCACATGGACAGGAGGGTAACACTTGGAGAGCAACTGCTTTTGCACTGGAGATGCACAGATTACACAGCAAAGGGCGAAGGATGAGCTGTACAGCATGAGGAATATATGCAGCAGGGCATAAGTCAAGCACAATAATGAGTGAGATAAAGCCGGACAACTGGTGAAAATGTTCCTACTTATTAAACATTAACAACAAATGTCCCTTCCTTTTTTTGGGGAGGGGTGGGGTGGATCTTTTCCTCCTGTTTTTCACATCCATTGGTATCTCCAATACCATTGGAGTGATGATTGACCATTATACTGCATTGTGTTTTAGATTTTTTTCTCTATTTTCGACACTTAGGCTAGCTAGCCCCTAGGAGTGTAAAAACACAAAGCTATGCCAAATTTGCCATCATTGGGGCTTCATGCTCCAGGATATCCAGATGACTAATGTGGAAGAAGTCGCATTTGGGCTATGGTCAATCTCACAAGGGGAGATATTTAACATGTGGGCTGGCTATTACGTTCTCTATTTTGACCCTTAAATATTCAAATGGAAACATTAATGAGCATTTTTTTTGTGGTCCGTGAACCGAAGAAAATCATTTGAAAGTGCTTTGTGCTATTCCTTAGTCAATTTGATGTAATACAGAGAAACGTGTTCTTCTATTCCCACCCCCACCCCCCTTCCTGCTATTCATTGATTTTTCTCCATGTTAAATATGCTCAAGATGTTTTAGACCACTAACTGTGTGATAATTAAGTCCCTCTCTGTCGAAATAAAACAGTGGGTGCCGCCATATGGAAAAACAATGCTTCAGGAAGTGTTTCTGCAGGTTGGGGGCAAATCAAAATCTGTTGTTTAGAGACCTAAACTGAAAATTGAATTTAATAAATTAATAAACGATAAATTAATTTAATTGTTTTAAAAAAAAGTTGCTTAACTTTCACTTTTGTACACTTTGTAAAAGCTCTGTTTTTGGATTTGGATACATAGCTTCCTGTGCTCGGATTCACTTACAAAATGGTCTACAAACCGCACAGGCAAGCTTGGGCATGGAGCGAGGGTGATGAGGTGCCAAAGTAATAATAATAATCCTTGCATTTGATATAGCGCTTTTCACGTCCTCTAGACGTCTCAAAGCGCTTCACAGAATAGACTGTAAAGTGAATTGACTGTATATTTGTGGGCGAAATGCGGCAGCCAATTGCACACAGCAGTGCCCCACTGGATTGAAATGACCAATTTTTTTTTGAGGGATTATTATCAGGTGTGCGGAGTAAGGAAACTTGCCCAAGGTTTCACCCTGCCGGGAGTCGAACCCAGGTCTCTCGCTTGCAAAGCGAGTGCTCTAACCACTGAACTACAGGACTCCACGAAAGCCTTTAAGTCAAGAGGCTTGTTTGACTGGTGGTTCTCCCAATTGGAAGGGAAAAGCAAGGACAATAATAGGGTTGTTCCTATGCATATTTAGTCCCGTCTGTGCTTATCTGCTCGATAGAATATTGTTAAGTCAAAGGATTCCCTCACCCAGGAGTCCACTAGACTGGGGTCAACAGTTTAGGAGGGCGCTCAGTTTTGTGAAAGAGTATCTAGAGGAATGGAGACTTACCTGGGGTGTGTAATGATCCGTCCATTTCTCCCCTGGTCAAACTCTGACATGGTCACGAACATTGGGCTAGTGTGCCCTGTCCGCATGTAAAGCAAAATGTACATATTCAAACAGCGTTGTGCAGCCAACTAGGGGACAGTCTGAGTGTGTTCTGGGCACATATTTTGCCAATGTGCACAAAACGGTGGGGGAGTGGTGGGAGGGGGGTGGGGGGTTGGGGGGGGGGGGGGGGTGTTGTTGGGTGGAAGGGAAGACGGAATATCAGAGGCTAAATGTTGTAAGCGCTGGACGTAAAACGTGAAAAAATAAATCTTTTAAAAGGAACGCTATGTATAACTGTGTGGCCATGAATGCCGGTGGGCAAGATGATTTTAGATACGGTTTTCAAAAGCAGATAACAATATGCTGTTTAAGATGAGAGAATCGTAATTGTAAGCAAAGCCGATTGGGATCAACTGAGCTCTGTCAAAGAAAACATTGATTTCCATGAGAAAAGTAAGTTCCATGTGGACACAGATGTATCACAAAAGTAGCACAAGTAGGGCTGTTGGAAAATGTATTAATCAAATGAAAATGACACAGAGAGTATCTGTCAAGACCACAGTCTGGGATACTTTCAAGAAGCAATTTTTTTTTCTGTCAGGATTGATCTTAAAAAGGTAATTAAAAATTCTGTTGATTGTTTCCCCAGCTTTAACCCCTGATAACTCTATTCAGTGGGGTTTTAACAGCTAACACACAGTGTAATGTATTCTCTACAGCACACAATTCACATATTTCATCAGTAAACATTTATAAAGACATTAGCTTATTTGATTCCCCCCAAAAAGTATAAACAGTACCTTTTAAAGCTTTTCCCCTTGTTTAATAATATTAAAAAAATGACTCATGGAATACTCATGTGTACATATTGAAAGTGTATAAAAGGATGAACACAATAGTTTTCTAAGTTTGTTCCTTCCTGTTTAATCTACTTATACTAAGACAATGAGATAATACTGTCTGCTACTACTTGTAATAAATACTCAGTTTTAAATACTTGAGTCAGAGCGACCTATGATACACCATATTGCAATGGTTGTGGAGTATAATTTAATAGAACACTTCTGGCCGTTTTTTTTTTAAAAAAAGGAAACAAAACGAAAATCAAACCCGAAAAATAAACTTTCAAAAAACTTTTTTGAACTTTCTTTTTTTTAAAAAAGAGCGTGCAACACAGATTAGACAAACTCCTCACTTCTCACTATGGAGCCTGCATCTCACTTCATAACCCAACATCCACAACATCATATTTTGCTCCTTTGTAATCCTCAGAGTGATGGACTATAAGGTTTTAGCTGCTTTCCACAAATTAAAATTATGAATCCAATTTTACGAGTTTGTCATACAGCCACAATCCCAGATTGTATTTAGTCTCATTTTATTCCATAATTCGCAGTGCAGGAAACCTGCTCAGAGGTATTACATGATTAAAAAAAAATGTATTTTTTGGTAGAAATTTCCATTGGAAATTTCCAAGGATGATCAGTTTCAGGAGTATGTTTTTGTATTTTGTAAAAAAAACCTTCAGACTGACAAGTACAGATTTTTGTTTAAACGTGATGCAAACTTCGAAATGGCACAGAGCTTGTGTTTAAACTGTGCAAATGATCTTGTTGTATTTAGGCGCTGTCTTCCAGAGCGAGCGAGTGTTATTCACACTGAATGTGAGACAATAAATGGATTAATTAATTAGAAAAAAAAGGAAACACTATACAGCTGGTGCTTTATCTGGATGGTTTTGACTGTTCTCTAATGGTAAACATGCCCGTTTAAAACATCGGAAGCCTCTTCTTAAAGGTGATAAAGTGCTTATCAAGCATATGCCCTCCATTTAGTAGATTGCAGTTACACTGCATTTCTGTCAGTTACACATTCATATTTGCATAATTGCCTTTTGCGACTAGGAGACCAAAATTCCGATCTAGAAAGTCTGCACTCCTATCCTATCAATTGGCTTAACAGAGTATTATTACCCACTGCAAAGAGTTCTATATTACATTGTAACATTGTGTTTTACGCACCAGAATTTGCCTTTTTTTAAATGAATAGCTCCTTGCGGTCAGTAAATGGTTAACTGCACTGAATGCCAAAACTGCATCGGCCTTTAATTCTTGAAAATGTCTCATCCAGGTGGGTTTGAAACCTGCCAGCCAGTACTACTGATCCTTCCTTCCTCTATAGTTGGGGGCCATCTTACTTTATTAAATTAGGCCGTGAGCAACTTCAGAATGAACTGAGAGAGGCGATGATGTTCAATGAGGTGGCAGCTCAGGAGATGTGCAGTGCATTGGAGGAGATATTAGCCCCAGGATAGAAAAGAAGGAATGGGATGTGTTGTTTCTTTTTTAAAAAATAAAGGTAATTCTGATCGGGAGAGCACATTAGCTCCTGATCACTGGCAGTGTACTGAGCATTTCCAATCAATCTAATCGGTAAAGTGAAAGTAACGCCATTGAAGCAAAGCCGCTGGACAGAGAATGTAAAATAGTTACAAAGAATGTGAAATAGTTTGGATGTAGTGAGCCTGCCTTGTAAATCTGACCATTGGTGTGCAGTGTGCCATGACTGGCTGGTCCTGTGGCACAACACATCAAGTCAACCATCAGTACACAATTAGCATTTCTCTACCAGTATTACATGAGGCTAGCTTGATGGGTGGTGTCCATGCTTCAAGTCAAAGGTGAGCAAAAGCGATCCAACGTCTCCTTAGAGGAGACACTGATCCAGGTTTTGCCAGGCCGACTGGGCATACTCTGCTCTACCAGTAAGGAATCAATGGCGATTTTTAACCAAGGAAGCTACAAATCGTACCGTTTGACTTATTCCAACGATGCAGCACTGTGTCAAACCCCACTCCAAGGGAATTTCGATTGAGTCAGTTTGCAAGAGACCAACTTCGCTTTCTATCCACCAAATCCAAGGTGGCAAAACATTTATATAAAGAAAAGCCATGGGTGGCCTGACTTCTAATGCTCACTGCACAATATGATAGCTCAGGGTTGTATGTTTTACACCCAGTCCCACTTAACATTTCAATCTGCAACCAGACGACTGCTTTTTGTCAGTCACTAAGCGGCTAAGCTTCTCAAAGGGATGTCTGGATGCTTGCTACCAGGTCTCGTCTTGATCTGAGTGGGCTCAGAGTGTCAGGCGACTCCTGTTGTGAAGGTTTTATTTTCTGACTGGTGCTTTTAAAGCTGCGTACCCAGTTTCGCACCCAAATTCTTGTTCACGTCACTGAATTATATATATATATATATATATATTATATATATAAAAAAAACTTTTGACACACCTTCACCGAAATAAAACCAGGAATTGAAACCAACCTAAAAATATTTCAGTTGGACAACTCTCTGGCTGGGCTGAATCTTTGAAATCATTAAGTGCATCAGTTTAACAAAGAGAGAACGTGAGCTATAAAGAAATTCTAGAGATTTGATTCCTCCTGCCCCTACCCCCCCAGTTTGTTTTGTTTGACTTTTTTGGGTGCTTTTTTTTTCTCTCACTCACTCCCCTCTCTCTCTCTCTCTCTCTCTCTTTCTCTCTCTCTCTCTGTACCATTCACACATTGGAAATTTTCAAAGTAGATCACACTGAGCGAAACTCAAGGAAAAATGAAAATAAAAAAAAAGATTTGCAATGACCACAGGTAAAACATGTAATCAACACAAAAAACAGCTGAGGTAAAAATATCAATGTTAACCAGCCAGGGTGTTCAGCACGAAACATGACTGCATTCGGTGCCAAAACCCCACCAGTTTCTGAGAAGACGTTTCTAGCCCTGCTGGGTTTTAGTGTGTCTCTGAGTTTCTTGCTAGTACGGTGTGAAGCGGTTGTAACCTCCTCTGTACAGGCTAGCCTGCAAACATCAAAGATGAAAAAAAAATCGAATAAATATTTTTTTTTTAAACGTACGAAATTCTACAGCAACACAAGCCACAAATCTAATTAAGAGAATGAAGGGAAGAGGGGGGAAATCATCATCTTAATTAATGAAAGCTTTTAGCTAGCAGCTGCTCCAGGGATTTGCAAAAGATTTGAAACCACAAAGCGCGTCACCTCTGCAAATTTAAATCATTTGTCTAAGTGAAAGCATCTCGCTGATGAGACTTGGAGATGGGGGTGGGCTTTTCTTTCCTCCTTTCCCCCCCTCCCCCTCCCCTCCTCTCTCTCTCTCTCTCTCTCTCTGTCTATCTCTCTATCTCAACAAAACGATTACAGAGGGCTTTTGCAGTAACTACCGCTCATTAATCTTAATGTGTTCTTTTTTTCTCCAAGACAAAAAAAATTATTGTCGAGGATTTCAAAAAGACAAAAAAAAATGGAATTTTTTTTTCATCTGTGATGTTGGCTGCAAAGCTAGCTAAAAACCCACAAACCCTGAGCAAAATCCCACTAAAAGCGAATGAGGGAGAGAGAGAGAGAGAGAGAGAGACAGAGAGAATGAAAGATAGACCATGATAGACAGACAGACACAGACAGATAGACAGAGACAGTATGTGGATGAATTATCCCCAGATACTGTTGGTAGTTAATAAAGGAAAATTGACACCCAAGGGTTAGGTAGGCTAACAAGCTAACGCTGTACAATATTTTTTAACAGTAGCTTTTACTCCCAGTTGCTTTGCCTCCTTGACAGCCTTCTTGTGCTGATGCAGTGGACATGTGGTCCATTTGGCCTTATGTTACCCATGATTGCAGCAGTCCAGAAAGGGCAGCAATGTATATTTTTCTAGCTGAGGTGAGAAATTCCTTCCTCTTTCCCGCTGGCCTGCCTATGTATTGAGGGAACTCAGCACTGAGCAGACTGACCAGGATAGAGGGTCAGCAGCTAGAATTACTAATGCACCATTATTAATTGGTGGATTTTTCCCCCCTCCCCAATAATAATCTAAAATCCTAATTCTCCAGGGTTCAAAACCACCTTGTATCCACCTTCGGGACATTTTACCTTAACAAAAGTTATAGATCAATGTAGCAAATAACAACATCGAAATGAATTAAAGAATAGTTCAGAAAAAAGGCAGCAAATAGGAAAAGACAAGTTAAAAATCACTTAAATTTAGCGCAATTGCAATCTAATAGTTTAGGAGAAGTCCTTATTTTAACCCCGCTTGACAAAATAAAATGTTTTTTTTCTCTCAGTGCTCTTGCTTTCTCTATGACATCATGAAACATTGGTGTCTTTAGGAAAGATGTGTAAGGTGGACTGTAAAGCAGGAGGGTAAAATGCCTTGGATGGGGGTAAGGATTCACCCTGCTCCAATGCAACAGAGCTGAGTGAATCAGCCTCTATTCAGTCTGCGTCTGATTTCCAAAGGCTCACCTGAACTTGAACCAGAACCATGCTATAGAGTTGTAATGTTAAACCTTTTTTTTCTTTTCTAAGTCCAAAAAAGCCACAATCGTTCATATGTGGGCTTTGTGCATTTTTTTTTAACATCTTCACGTGCTTGAGATCCTGAGTAAATGACCTTACAGAGGCCACAAAGCTCACCTGTTCCCTGAGTGATTGAGTGAAGAAGGTGTTTGCAGGTCCCAACAATCCTAGTTTCCAAACCTACACAGACAGCTCGGAGTTATATCATTGGAAATCAGACTTCTCCAGCCATCTGCATACACTCCTCCTCTGCAAGCTTGGGACCAGGATTCTGATGTTCCCAGTCCTCTAACCACTGCTCCAAGATAGTGACTGCTCTCTGTTCCATCTGGGCTGGGAGTATGGAACACAGTGGGACATGTGGGAGCTTCCTGATGGGAGAAAATATTTCTTAGACCAAAGGAGTGGTTACAGTTGCACAAAGTCCAGCGAACCATCCAGTTTGACTTTTTTGGACTTGGAAAATTCAGAAGCAAAAAACTGATCCAAACTGGAAAAACTTTCTGATTTGGTTTGGTTTTGATTAATCCCCAACAATCTATTTGGATTTTGGGTTCAGTTCAATGCTTAATCCCCTACCTGGTAGGCCAGCCAAGGACTGGCATTGACAGCATTCCTGGAGATATCTGTGAGGTGGACCGCCCAACTCTCTCAAACAGGTTGGATGGCATGGTTGCAGGAGATTAACATAGGGGGGAGGAAAGAAAATGGGGGAAAATGAGTGGGGGAACAAGAAATTCTCTAACTGGCCAGGCTGAAATTACAAGACAGAATAGGCAGGAGGTGAGAATTCCTCAACTACAAACAGTAATAGAAACACTAATGAGAAATTTATTCAGTGATGTCAGAGATAGAGAGAGAGGACCGAGACTAAACTAGCTTGTCTTTCAGTGGCCAGAAGATCGTTTGTGAAAAAAAAATAGGATTTCTCCTAAACTACACAATATTTGGGTGTATCAGAGTTCCTGATGTTAAAAGATCTCGTTCAGGAACTCGAGAGGATTTTGCAAAGTCGTACCATTACTCTCTATAACTCTAGGTCAGTTTCTCCTGCAAAGGCTATTCATTCATCCTCGTTATCTTTATGTATCGTAATGCCCATCTTTGCATCTGTGTGCATTTATTCTGTGCGCGTACTCTCAGAAGCCACGGGATGCGTTATCTGTCATTCCACTGAAATGCAATCGTGTCTGTGGCAATGACACTTTCCTCTATGGGGTATTAACAGCGCTCTCATGGCGTGGAAAAAACCTTAACTGCTGTCAGAATGCAAATGTTCCAACATAATTAAAATTAACATTTTAATAAATGGAACACTAGTTTATGAATCTGCATTATTGCCACCTGTGGTATAAACAAAATTGGCTGGGAGTTAGTGGGCGATGAATTTCATTTGATTGGTGAACTATATTTCATCCCTTCATTGAAGGGCCCCACTGTTCTCCGTTGAGCCTTTATAACATTGTGCATGAGTACATATGTGTTTATCTCCGTTTGTGTGAACCATTGAATGTACATGTGGGATTTGTCACTGTGCCTTCCAGTATGTGTACATCTCTGTTGGTGGGTATTTGCGTGTGTGACCATGTATTTCCTTTAAAAACACAGACATGAAGATAGACAACTACAGACACTTAGATTTATCTCTGTAGTTGTGGTTCATATATATTATATCATATATATATATATATATAATCACATGGGCACTTGTTAAGGAACTAGTACTTTACATTGTAGTGGTGAACCAGATATATAATCCAGGCTTTCTAAAAGCTGATCATCTACTTGTTTATTCTATTAGACAGGGCTGGTGTATATATTATATATATACACACACACACACACACGTTCACGAAAGTCCAAAAAATGGAAAAATGAAAAAAAAATTGCAAAGTAAGAACTTATAACCAGAATCCTTAATTTGGTTCCTTCCAAATTGTGTTGGAGTTACGGTTAGAACAGATTTAATAAGAAACAACGGCTCTTATAGGTAGGGCTGGGTTTACCAAGGAATTAAAAATGATCAATTACTTCTCAGTGAAGGTTCTCACAATGCAACCTGTGTATGTGAGTGCGTGAGTGCGTGTGTGCGACACGCACAGTATTCGTCCGTGCGGATTTATGTGGGAAGTGTTGAGCCAACTAATGGTAAATGCAGTTTTTGAAACTTACCATAGTCCCAACGCTATACGTTGCAGCTGGTGCTATAGCGTGGTGGTAAGGGTCTGCTGCTGCATAAACTCTCCCATAACTGCAAGATAAGAAAGGGGACAAATATGTCTTTGATGACAGCCACATCAGAGGATCCCTGACTCGCTTCTTGAAATGCTATTAGGCAAGACAAGCAAGGAACTAAGTGTTACTATTTCTACCATACACTCCTCAGCATGCTCCCTTGAATCTGGTTAATAAATTGTTATAATGATAGGGTCTGAAGATCTTGTATTGGACTGTCTGCTTTGCTTGGTCTCTCTTTTTGCCATGATCGTCACAGACTGGGGAAAGGCAATGTACAAGCGAGTCATTTTCACCAACGAGAAATAGAAATCTCAAAACCTTTAACAAGAGGTGTGTGTCTGTATGTTTCCCTTAGATTCATAATGGCTAGAACAAGATGCTGTTCTAGGATGGTTGAGGCAGGGACACTGGATTCATTTGAAAATAGCAGCTGGATGCTGTGATGGGAAGACGGAAGGGAGGATGGGTATTCTGGAAGGATGAGATCAGATGGACTGAAGGGCCTTCTTCATCTGAACTAATCTTGCGATAACTGCAAGGGCTTCAAAACAGCTTGATGCTGTACTGGCAAGACTGTGCCTAGGGTGGGTCTTCTGGTAGGATGAGATCAATATGCCTAAGAGTCTTCTTTATCTAATCCAACTTGTGGTCACAGTCGCTACAAAGTTCTTTTTAAAAAAAACTACCATGCTGGCTGCTGGACTCCAACATGAGCACTCTAGGAAAAATATTAGGATCATAAGGAAGCTGAAATAATTTAGTCAAAATGTTGCTCAGAAAGTACTGTATCCCGTGATGCTGCTTATACAATAGAGTTCCAAACTCCAGACGAAATAAGCCTCCCGGAGAGAAAGCGAGGGAGAGAGTGCTCCAGTGAAAAGAAAAATCATTTGAAATCCATCTCATTTGCTGCTATTGTGTTCACACCGGTCTTGTATTCAAGGAACCCGGGAAATAAATCCATAGGAAAATGGGGAACATACAGGTAAAGTATGACATAGCAGCAATCACTTCAAGACGCGAGGAGAAACATTATCCCGACTCAGACAATTCCTTACAAAATCACTGAAATCATTTGAGTGTTGTACGAATGGATATTATTCAGTGATCGCCTACTTAATCTTAAATCCTTCCTTGCAAAGATCCGGAATTTGAGCTTGTGTTAAAATGAGCTCGGAACAAATGAAATTAAAGCGAGAAAACTGCATTTCTAAAAAAAAATCCTGCATATGAATTGACTTTTCATGAAAATAATCTACATAATTCAATTGTGCTGTACTTAAAAAAAACTAGTACAAGCAAATCTCACGCTTACACTTCTCGAGCTGGGAGATGGTCGTGGCATACTGATAGCAAGCAATAAATGTGCTGATGAAGCTTTTTTTTAAATCTAGGTTTCAGTCTGCAGCTAGAATCTGGAAGCACATGGTAAATTGAGCGTTTCAATCTATTGTAAAACACAAAATCATTTTTAATTGTACATTTTTTAAAAAAAAACTAACCCATCCTTCATCATTTGTTGCTATTTTGATAGGGTTTCAAAATATGGCATCTGAGATATGGCAAGAAATAAAATGTAATTGTGGCTACATGATGCCATTGTAGGCATTTGCCTACAAAATAGTCAGGGAAGCAGCTGGATACTGCTATTTCGATAACAACGTTTAAGAGAGAAGTAGATAATTATTTGGGGAGGACAAGTTTGCAGGGCTGTGGGGAGAGAGAGCAAGAGAGTGGGGATTGACTTGGATAGTTCTTTTCAAAGCGCTGGCACAAACACGATGGGCCGAATGACCTCTTCCTCTGCTGTACAATTCTACGATTCTATGAATCTATGAAGCACTGACATGAAAGGCTGCTATGAAATGGAAGGATTATCATTAATAATAATAATAATCACAATAATAATAATAATAGTACAACAGCCTTCCACAAGTTCTTCCATTGTTTCAGAACTTGTTAAAACTTCAAAAATGTATTGACCGGCTCAATTGTCAGCACGCAAACCAATATTGCAAAGGCTCCTTTAGAACGGCAGATTGCAAATGAGGTCTGGCCACTGCAGATAACATGGAGGCAGCAAACAAAAGGGTAGGAGGAGCGGTGACTCATCGAGGAATTCCAAGCCAACCCAAAACTGAATGGTTTAACAGCGATGTACTCCTTTGAATGCAACACACAATTTAAATGGACCGTGTCAATGCTCAGAGGGACCCTTGTAAAAGGGTTTTAAAAGATGGGACGCTCCTGCATTTGGATAATTCCAGTTTCTTTTCATCTGGGGAACCACCTAAAAAGCCGAGCTATTTCAAGCTGGCTGTTTATTTAATTCGGCGTGATGCAGACGAGAATCACATCTGTTTCTTCGGAAGCACTGCAATGCTGAAGGAAACCACCGCCAGAAGTGTGCAACAAAAAGCTCAAGTTAATATAACTTCACCATTTATTTACACTATTATATCACGAGCAGAATGGTGTGGGGGTATATCCCACTTGGAAAGAAAAAGGACCTGATTGCTGAATTTCGCGTCAATCAGATATTAGGAATTTAAACCCATCCCAAACCGCTTCTTCGATCCTATGTCAGAAACTGACAGAAAGCAGCAAATCAAAGCCAAACTACTGTACCAAAATGAATCAAGTTGACTCGTTAAAAAAAAAGCTTGATTTTGTGATGGGAAGACTGGAGGGCGGGCATTCTGCAAGGATGAGATCAAATGGGCTGAAGGGCTTTCGTGATTCAAAGTAATCTTGTGATCGCTCTTTCAAAGAGCCAGGACGCGCCCGATGGACTGAATGGCCACTTTCTGTGCCGGACAGGTGAGTTAAAGTAAAGAACACAGAGCCCAAAGTGGGACAGGGGTGCACCTGGTTTAATTCACGCCTGGGGAGGCATGAAACCTCCTGGTAAACATGACATGTAACACAGGTTACCGCATACATCACCTGTATACGTTATAGTCCCTGTTATCTTTTACAACCTCAGAATGCTGCTTTCCCCATTACTGATTAAACTAAACATGGTGGGGGGGGGACGGAAGAGGCAATTTCTATCTTATATTTCATAGCATTTTAGAGTATGCAAATTTCGAGCCAATCCATCAATTCACTTTTTCGCGGTTCTTTGCATTAACTTCCATTTATAACTGCATTAAGATCCATCAAGCACTCCTCACTATCTTCTTAATAAAATGCCTTTCAATGCCGATTACCAAAAGGAGCTAGAATGTTTCGAATCGATTTGTGCCACAGGTTTTTTTTTCCTCCCTGTTCCTAATGCTATTCATAACATTGACTATCGTTCAGTGCTGAACTTGCCAGATTTTTCCATGTCACCGAACAAAAACATAATGATATCTCCAGAGGCAGTTTCTCGCAGTTCCGTCCTCGGGCTGTTTTTTTTCTTGCCAACAATTACAGATGACTTGGGAGAAAATTGCTTGTGATAGTTTTGACTTCTCACCAAGACAATCTGAAAGAGAACTGGCAGGCAGGCCAAAGTGAGCCCGACTGTAAGGGACTCGCAAGCGGAGTCGAGTGTCACAGAATCAAAGGAATTTCAGCACAGATGGGTCGCCATTCCTGAGCTTTGCTAAATCGTGAACTCACTTACATATAGTGCGCATTAAACCCTGGAAAATGGATTAGTTTGAACGAAAATTGATAGGCTGTATGCTCAAACACATGCCGTACAAGAAAAGTGTCAATATCATGCAGTGAAATTATCTTACACACTGTGACTGACTCATAATATCACTAGACTGTTTTTTTTTTACTTTCTGCCGGTTTAGTATTTAGGGATAATCCAAAGAAAGGGAGAGATCTCCGCAATTTGGGGATCGAATTTGAGGCCCGTGTAAACAATGATCCTGGCATTTGCCAACAAGAGATTGGATAAATGAGAGAGTTGGAGAATTTCAGCACTAAAATTCTGATACTAAGTTTAATTTGAAGTTTTCATGTCAATTACTTAAAGTCTTTGTCTTAGAGTTTTGTTTTGACGGTGGGTGGGGTGGGGGGGGGTTGTGGTTGTCGGGTGTACATTGGCACACACAGTTTTGTTTTGCATATCATTCCAGACACAAGGAAATTTGCTTGATTCGGTGGCATACATTATTATATATATGTATGTGGAACTCTCAGTCTGGTTTGGATCCTCTTTACCACGGTGATGGGTTTCTGCATGAACCACCCGGCTGACCAACCCCCAGTTTTTGTTACGTGCATGGAGGTATAGGAGTGTAAAGTCATCTCAGCAAGCACCCTCAACATGGGGCGATCCTCATTCAGACCTTGTGTTAACTGTAAGAGTTACAGACCCACCCCACCCCCCCAATAGGAATAGAGAAGCAAGTATGTTAAATGGCAACGCTTTGCCCGCTGTGTGTTCTGGGTGCTCATACCTGTCACTGTAAGCAGCGGCAGCAGCAGCAGCAGGCTGGGCGTATCTGTATGCTGCATAGCCTCCCTGGAAAATACAAAGAACAGCTTCATTACACGGTGTGTATGATAGATTGACACCGTGCTAAATGACTGCTGGCCCGAAATTTAAGAGTGGTGAAACGGTCAGAGAGAGAGAGAGCGAGAAAGAGAGAGAGAGAAAAAGCAGACAGTTTAATAGATGCCGATCGGACTTGAGAGTCAAACGCTGCTCACAGTGTTTATGTGATATGATGTACTCTGCCACGTAAACGCTGTCATTTGAAGCCGTTAACCACTAACCTAGGTCAGGCGCCGCGTGTGAAGGATCCCGTTATGAATAGAAAGCAGCCGTGGATGGAGTGCGGTAGTGATGTGGAGAGATCTGTAATGGGCGAGTGCGATGGATGGTGGCAGTTTATCGTGACATAAACCCCACCGTTGTAAGGAATGCTCCGTCCACGCCCTCCTCCCCTTTTTTGTCAGTTGACAATCACACTTTACAAAGCAAACTAGAATTCACCCTCGCTCTCTGTGGAATGAAAAACCAAACTGCCTCTCGCAAATTACACGGGCGCTTTAGAAATATATGGAATGCAAACTGTGGTAGGAAAATACAGTATCCTCTATCTTCCTCTATCAATTTGGGGGGTTGGCCTTTTCCGCCGATTACACATTTTATCCAGGCTGAAAGGCTGAGCTTCTTCAAATACCTCTCAGAGCTGGGAAGATTTTCTGCTGGCTCCGTGTGTGTTTAGGCAGCTCGGATTATGGTTCAATTTCTGTTGTATGAAAAGTTCAATAATAAAAGACAGCAGCAGTGCTTGCCAGAGAATCTTATCTTGCACGGAAAGACAAGTAATTTCATCTTCGAATGGGGGCAGTGGAGTGGGGGGGGGGGGGGGGCAGATTTGCAGGGGTGTGGGGGGAGCGAAGGCTGTAGCTTTGAGTCTTCTCAGCTGTACGTTGCTAGGTCCTATGCAACACTTAATAGAATGCCATCCTGGTGGACATGTGGCATTGATGTACCCTGCAACCATCCATCATGTCCTTTCAGATACACTAATTGCTAACAGCAGTGTAAAATAAATTTAAGTTTTAATTAATTTTTTGTGACATTATGGCAAACCCTTGTTCCTACTCACTCCAAGCTGTGTTTTACCCTGGTGGGTCTGTAGGAACATGCCCCACCTTTTCTAATAGCTGCGTCTGACTAAAGGTTTTGTCAACAGATCAGCCAATATTACTGATAATACTGAAAATATTCCGTAGCTAGGGAAAGGGACAAACCTAACATCGCTTGCAGCAAATAGGGCAGGGACACTGCTGTGCGCAACTGGCTGACATGTTTCACAAAATATACAGTCAATTCACTTTACAGTGTATTCTGTGAAAAGCTTTGAGACAATTCGAAGACGTGATGAGGAGCGATATCAAATCCAAGGATTATATTATAAGAAAAACTCTAAACAGGCTCCTTGATTTGGTCTTGTGATTCGGGGTTGCTGGGCCTTAATAGGACAACTGAACACGGTTAATTGAGATGCTCAATGAAAATAAAATCTTCCCACTTATCAGGTCGCTCCTTCTGAAACAAATTCCATTAGTATTTGACTTAAATACGTTGGGAATCGATCGGTGCTTCAGGACCTTTGCCTGAGAAAGAATGTATTCTCATTAATTCTCATTAACGAAACTATTATTTCCTCCGAGTAATATTCCACATCTACTTTTTTTTTCTGTGGCGTGGGGGGTTGGGGCGGCGGGGCCTGAACCTGGATTAGTCTGCATTTTAGAGGATGTGTTTCTGGCATGTCACTGACCTCTAGACCAGAGATCTCATGGGCCAGTCAAGTCTTTTAATACCCCTCTCTGAAAGCCGCTGAAACCCTGGTCCATGCCTTTGTCACCTCTCGGCTGGACTACTCTCACGTCCTCCTCGCCAGCCTCCCGTCCACGACCATCCACAAAATCCAGATTATTCAAAACTCTGCCGCCTGCATTCTCACCCGCACCAAACTCCGCTCCCCGAGTAGCCCGGTCCTGGCCAGACTGCACTGGCTGCCTGTCCCAGAGAGGATCGACTTCAAGATCCTCACCTTTGTCTTCAAATCCCTCCACTCCTCTGCCCCCCCCGACCTCTCTGACCTCCTCTCTCCTCAAAACAGTGCCTGTTGCCTTCGTTCCTCCGGGTTTGCCCTCCTCTTTGTCCCCTGAGTCCTCCGCTCTACCCTTGGTCGCCGTGCCTTCAGCCACTATGCCCCGAGGCTCTGGAACTCCCTTCCTCACTCCCTTCGCCTCACCACTTCTCTTCCTATTTTCAGGTCTCTGCTGAAGAACGTTCGTTTCGACCGCCACTTTGGTCACCGTCCCCGCCCCTGGCTCGGCTCCAGGATCCGTCACTGTGAAGCACTCTGAGACGCCGTCCGGCGTGGAGGGCGCTATATAAATCCAAGTTGTTGTTCTTAATATCTCAGTCATGTTGTATTAAGTGGATGTCTGGCTCAGGTGGTAGCATTCTCACCTCCGAGACAGAAGGTTGAGGGTTCAAAGCCCCAATTTGAGGCTTTGAACTCACAGTCTAGGTTGGCACCAGCTCATTCCCAGAGGATTATCTGTGGTGCCGTCTGTTGGCTGAGATATTAAACCAAATCCCCGTCTGTCTGTTCAGGTGGACAATAAAAATCTCATGGCACTACTTGAAAACAGAAAGGAGTTTCTACCCGCTGTCCTAACACATCAATCTCTCAGGTTAAATTGGTTGTTCACTTCAAGGCTGTTTATGGGACATTGCTGTGCGCGAATTGGCTGCTGAGTTTGCCGACAAAACACACAGTCCGTACACTGGTTAGTGATATCCCATGAAGTGGTTTGAGACGTCTCAATGACACGATATCGAACGCAAGGATTTTTATCCTTAGGAATTGGGTGTTTCAAAATCGTTTCGAGATGGGCACGTGGAGAACATAGCTGCGACGGATCCGTCTGACACCTCAGGAGGGTAAACCTCTCAGACATTGCGTTGAAATGCAATTTTAATTAATGCTGAGGCACCTGGCACAGTGCCATTTCATTCACTTTTTAAGTAGCCATTGAATGAATGGGACTGGGTATGTTTGGGTCCACTGGGGCTGCCAATCTAATAAAGTCATCCCTTTCCTCCCCCACCCCCTTCCCAATGGGAGTTTTAGGCTCATTAACATTCAGATGGGATTTTTTTTAAATATTAACCTAGAAATTAAATTAAAAGGTAAGAGAAATCATTCTGCAGATAGCTTCAATTATACAGCTCTTCAAATAAATCTCTCGTAAACCTTTCACAAGGATCTTAAACGATTCCTAAACAGCGGCCCTCCTCCCGAAGGTTAATGGTTGTTTCTTCACGATCTACTGCAGCCAATAAATCTGTGACAATTTTCATTCCGTGCACTGATAATCTGGGCCCCGGCCTTGATCCAAACACACAGAGACGCAACAGCCCATTTCGCAGTGAGGACAAGATGAGTGGGTCCTAACCTTTGGTGTTTCTTTGGTGTTTGGGACATCCTCCAGAAGTGATAGGCCGATATAGATGCAATTTGTTGTTGTTGTTGGAACCGGCTTTGGGTGCAATTATAGTGCAGAACCTATGGGGCAGAGGAAGGTGGTGGGTTGGGTTGGGGGTGGGGAGGGGTCGGGTTTTAGGAATAGATGGCAAAGTGTGATGTTTTCTAACAGGTTCAATGACATATTTGATAATTGTCAAATTTCCTTTGAAACATCTTATTTTTCGCCCCGTTATTGGCAGCAAAACTGGAGTAATTCTGTAAGCACAAGTTTACTATGCTTACAGCGAGGGATCACAGTGCCAGAAGGGAACTTCAGACCTTGTTCTCTCTGAAATAATCTGTGATAGAAACCACCCCCACTGTCACATTTTGGAAGCTTTAGCCTTTCAAAGGGTTTAGCAATCTCCAGAGAGGGTTAAAATCAGCCAGCGAAGACTAAACAGTATTATGAACAAAATTGCAATTGTGCATGTGTTTATTCTGTAACTTGTAGCGTGGTAAAGACAAGCTGTGTAAATAACGCACAATGGTTCATTAGTTCAGTTCTCTTCAAATGAGGGACTCTGGAAATTGGTTTGATTTTGGTGTTGCTAATTTGTACGTGTATGAATAAAGAAACATCTTTTGCTCTCATCTTGTTCCTGTTTGCACGTACAGTTACGACTGTATGATTCTTAATATCCTTGTACTTTTTAAAGAATATGTATTCTTATCTGATTGTAATGTGGGGAATGACTGGTGTGAGAAGAAACCGCTGGCGATTGCTAGAAAGCTCAAATTATTTTTTGAAGCCTCATCATCGCAGCCACATTGTGGAAGCGTAAAGTATTTGTTACTTATGGGTATTTAAGTAGGGAAATCTTGTCATTACTTTCTGTTTCTCGAGCAGCTCTAAGGCTCAGTGATCTCTTCCAAAGCTATACAAACGACCTGAGAATTTGGATTTCATCAGGCCATAACTTAGGGAAGAAAGTGTGATCCGAGAAGCCAATATCACTAAAACATCCAGAAAGGACCATCACTTAACTGGACTAACAATAGCCATTCTTCCTTTCAGTAAAGGTAAAGGTGGCATTCAAAAAGGCTGGACTGTAATAGGTGCCAGAATCCATTTGTCTGCTAATTATTAATTTGTTGGTTTAGGTGATACTTTACTCACGGGAACATGAGGAGCTGTTTATTATGGATGGCACTGAATCCCTGAGAGAAAACTGAGGTGCTACACAGACTGTGTAAAGCAGCCCTTTGGGAACTACCTAGTCACATACCTTTGGAATGCATCTTGATACGAAAGCCATACAGCACAAATATTAATATACTAGAAGGCAATGTTTTACCTAATGATTCATAAACGCAAGTCAGTTTTTAATGACTTTCCATTCGTGTTGTGCCAATCATAGAGTGTATTCTGCGGTATGAAAGGATTGCTTTTTAATGGTGTCACAGAAACCATGGCCTTCTTCTGCGCTGTAAATTTCCACGCTCTTCAGCTAAGAGTCTTTATTCAATGATTCAGATCTAGCTAAGAATATTTCCTCCCTCCTTCGGGTCCAGCAGCAAGTGAGTAACAGTAGAAACTATTTCCTCACACATGATGGCTCTTTATCTAATCAGGTTTGGTTTCTCAATTCATGTGGATGATCATTGTTTTAATTGCATCATTTTGATGTCCTCACTCACAGTGCACTGTCCTATAATTCATCCTTCCAAGAAAACCCCACATGAAAGGTTGCCTGTGACAATAAAACACGAGGCAACGATGAGAGTTCAGGGCCAGAGGATCCCAGCGACTTCAGCACTGGCTTCTGGTAAGCAGTGGCATTGTGAAAGACATCTTTTACCTTCTTCTCTCTAATACAATGAGACCGTCGCCTTGGTGCTTTCAAACGCAGTTAATGCACAAAAATGAGCCACTGCATCAAAACCTCAAACGGTGAACCTAAAGAGCCTTAAACACTGGACAGTTTAAAAACGCTATGAGAAAAAGACGTTTCCTGGCTATAAAGATGGATCATGAATTTCTGGGGGAAGCCATCAGCTTCTTGCCCAGTCAAGAAAGAAGATGCACATGTCTACATTTCTATAGTAAATTCAGCAGGGCAATGATGACACCCAGTTTGTAGTTGAGTCGTGGACAAAGTACAGATCCGAGCATAGAATTCCAAAGTTCTCAAAATTACTTCTTCTGAATGTTTCATCACGCCTATGACTGCGTTCCTTTGAACGGATTCACCCACAAGCGGCAATCCAGTGGTACATGCTCCAACATAAGCAACTCTCAGGAGAATACAACCATTCACGCGGAAACTTTTTTCTGACCGAACTCGGAATAGAGTCCAAGTTCTTCAGATTAGTTCCTGATAAGCGTGTCCGCTAGTATAAAGAAAGTGCAAACCTCAGGCACTATTACCGTCAGGAATCGGTTATAGACAGCGCAGTTCTAAATCACACTCCCCCTCACTGGGCTCAAGGCAAACATGATCCGAGTGAAGTAACAAGTGTAACTTCCAACGTCAACTCATTGATGTCTGCGATTGCTTCCTTGAGCTGCAACCCTCCATTACCGTGCTGTGTTTCCTTGTGGTCACAATGGGTGCAGTATAGCTCCATCGCTAGTCAGGTGCTAACATTCCTAAAGCAAATTATTCTGGAGTCACTCCCAGGTAACAGTGTAAACAACTATACTCACTCAACGTAATGGTTGACTGAATCTTTCGCGACTCTCGTCAAGATGCTAAAATTATTTGATATCAGTCCTGTGAGATTTACCAATAGATATCTTCGCTGGTTTTAAGTGGGGTTTAATCTGATCTACATCAGGTACTGTTTGGCAATCCCCAAGGTTCAATTTGAGGTCCTTCTTTATTCAACTTATCACTAATCTGCCAGAGGTGAGCTGCCAAGCAAGACTATTTACATGCAGAGATGAATCGCTCACAATACAGAATGCCTCCTTGGTTGCTGACATGCTGTCTGCACTAACACTGGGATCGGGCTGTTAATAAGCAATGGCTTGAAGACATCTACTTATTATCAGCAGTCTTGAGGAATCTCAAAATTCCAGTTTGCAAATAGGTTTAAATGTTAATTTGATTAAATATTTGGGGATTTGTGCAGGTTCCATCTTCAAACTCCAATTTTTGTAAGCAACAAAAGTGTTAAGTCTTTTGATAAGCCGTATTTGTTCAAATTAATTCACCCTCACTTTCGATAACTAGAAAGGTATCATTTTCCAATATTTAGCGTGCTGGCTTCAAGATGTTCCGATTTAATTGGGCCCATGCCAAACTCCCATCCTTAAGGTCCATTGTATCTATTTTTAATCAGATCTGTTAAACTGATCTCCAATTAAGCATCGCTGTTTCTGCTTTAATACTAATCAAAGGTCTCCCTCTTCAAAGATCTATTGATGTCGGACCTTTTAATCGGTTTGGCATCAGCGCGCTTATTCAACAACCACAACCGTTTCTTGCTCTGATCTTCCTGCGAATCTGCCACGACCAACAGCAATAACAACTTGCATTTATGTAGTGCACTCCACATGGCCTGGCGTCTCGGAGCACTTAAGTGAGGTTCGAAATTGAAAGCACAAAAAAGGTTCAATTGGTAAGCAATACTCACGTAGATCTCAGCGCCGTAAAACCCATCTTGGTACACAACTCTGCAATAGATAGGAAACAGCGTAAATTACAGGGTGCATTTCTGAGCGCAAAATGGTTCCTTATAAATCCCGAACCACTGTTATAGGATCGCGCTGTACTAACTAGGTAAAGCCACCAGCTATGCTGTCCATGTTACACTCATGCCAAGCCAGGAATACACAAGGTATAACATGCTCAAATTGAACTCTCTTTAATATATACTGTCCCCAGAAGGCATGTGGAATTTGAAATGATCAAGCGGCTGAGCTTTTATAATACAGTTTTCAACCTGTTCTGGATATGATAACGGACACCAGAAAGGTCTCAGTCTGACAGCTGTTGAGCAGAGAATGACACTATTCAGAGCGTGGGGGAGCCAGTGAAGAGTTTGATGGGGCTACAACGCATTATGAGAAGATTTCTGAAGTTTTCAATCGAAAGTTAGTTTAACCCCGGAGGAACTTTTTTTTTAAATCACTTGTGTTCAACTGCCCCAACCTCCAACACCCACACACACACACACCTGAGGCCCTTATTCTGAACAGAGTTCATGTTGGGCGTTATTCGCTTGCACACTCAGCAGGGAGAGGAGAGTCAATGAATGCTCTCCACATCACAAAGCAACCCGATCTCTTGGCTGGATTAGGGCACATAGTGAGCAATGTGCAAACGTATTTATAAGGGAGCTAGTCGGGAATTATCAGTCTGGCTTCCCCCAAAGAACATATTGCTTTCAAAATGTCAATACAAGATTCCCAGGATATGAGGGGAATTGTACACTTTACGAAAGATTCATCTGGTTAGTCTAACTGAAAACAAACCCCAATTATGACACCATTCGGAATGTCTTATCCGGTAACAAATAGTGGTAATCCTTCATTTAATGCTCATATATTTCCTTTAAATTTAATACATTTAACACCTCGTTGAAATGTCTCGAAGTGCTTCGTAGGATTTACTGTAAAGTGTAGTGACTGTGTGTTTGTGGGCAAATATGGAGACTTTCATTATACCTGCCTTTACATTACTTATATAATAAGTACGAATGTAGATCTTTTCTTTTGTTGCTTAGCAATAGACATATTTTCTAATTATTTGTTTTGTTTTAGCAAATGCATCAAGATCCTACCATATAAAGGTGTGCAACCATCTCAATATTGTTCAGCCTTTTACATTAAGCATGAATTGCAGTGTTCAGAGTTGTGCACAGGCTGGGAATTGCAATCTCCTCTGCAAATCTAGTAAGGATTTGTCAGGCTTCAGAATTTTTTTTAATATTTATACACTGTAATTTCATTTTTCAGTAAACACAATGAGCAGGAATAATCAATTCAAAGCACATCTTCATACTTTAATAACTTCATTATAAGAGACAACTGTTTTTTACGAGTCACTCAGTGGGATCTAACTTGTTAGTTAAAATGGGAAATCTTACCCACAGGGGTCAAGGCGATCAAGACTGAGCACAATTACTCAGTGCCTCAAGCAACAAACTAATGTAGCGAGAGAAGGCAAATTCCTGACTCCTCAAGTATGGGTGAGGCCAGAGCTCAGGGTCTAGTGTTAGCTGGAGGTTTCGAAAGCACCAGATTGTAAACACTAAAAAGGCTGACAATCACATTGAGGTTGTGAGAACCTAACAAGGACAACTGGTTATGGAATTTTACAGCCTAGGTCGTTTCTTGTGCGTGAATTGACTAGAATAAATATTTTGTTCACTGTGATGTGGATCACAAGTCGAGCTACCCACTAACTGGACCCAACTTAATCAAAAGCCTGAACAATTTTTCAGTTAAAATGCATGCGTAAGATTGGCTTATTGAGCCTGGCTGCCTAATGGGATCTGATGAAATGATGCATTGAAACACACAGCAAGCAAGACGGACAATGAAGTGCCTGCAATCATGTCGTATGTTGCCGGAATTTGTTTTGTGACTCTGGAACGACACAGGGAGGGGGAAAGGGGGCGATAATTACCCCTATTTGTAGTGCAAAATAGAATTTTTAAACAGAAATTGAGGAAGAGTAATTTTCCTATTAAAAACTTTAATTAAAATGCAATTCAATTATGCCGTTTCAGAGATTGGTGCTGGGTAAAACAAATAAGCTCCTGTAAGCAAATTTGCACTGAATATCTCATGTTAACCAGGTTGTCACGGATCAGTTTCACTTTGTTACAGCATCATTTTTAATATTCTTCCACCAGCTATACGGTGTGTGTCAGTGGATACGCTTGCTTGCTGCTTTCACACCCAAACACACACAAACTGAAGCAATCCCTTGCCAGAGCCAAGGTCCTTTGCAATCATCAACAGACAATTTAGAAAGCTGTAGTATTTTAACCATGTCTCCCATCATGTTAACAACATCTAAATAATTGCTGCACCAAACCTGTTTGAATACTGCTGAAATGTCTTTACATACATCAATATTTACATTGANTTTTTTTACATCGATTGTACAGCATGGAAGCAGGCCATTTGGCCCAACTAGTCCGTGGCAGTGTTCATACTCCGCACAAGTCTCCAGCCTCTCCTTTACTCCCTTTCAATTCCCCTTTTTCCTCCTCATGTGAAGATTTAGCTTCCTTTAGAAGGCATCTACTATCCGATTCAACCACTGCTTCACTATGTGAAATAGTTCCTTCTAAATTCTCTTTTAGATCCCCATGTTTTTATCTTATACTTGTGTCCCCTGGTTCCAGAATGTGGCAGAGTCATCACTCCTACTGTTAAGTGTGGTTCGCAATGACATCCCAATAAAGGGAAAATCTCTTTACAGCCATGTGTTAGCAGAAATCGCTGCATTTAGTGGCAAGAGCCTGCTGTTGGTTTCCATGTAGAATGTTACACTGTGCCTAGAATTTCCCTCAAACCTACTGAACATTATTCGCTGAGAATAAATACAGCAGTGAGAAAAGACACAGTAAAAGGCACAGTCACTACACTTTACGACAAATCCTGCAAAGCGCTTTGATATGACGCTGTGTCCATGCCACCCATTAACGGTCAGATCACAGATGCAGTTCTGTATTCGAGTTTATATACATTATAGAAATTAGCACCTAGCGAAGGAATCTCAGCCGAAAATAAACTGCAGGATATCTTTTAGTTTATATGCATATGTGTTTGAAATTTTTGTGAAAGCATTTTACATTTGTGCATCAGGCTGGCAGCACTACTGCCACTGATCCAGAAGGTTGTGGGTTCAAACCTTACATCAGGTCTCGGAACTCATATAAGTCTAAGTTGACATTCCAGTGCAGTGCTGGGGGCGGGGGGAGTTGTTGCATTGCTGGAGGTGCTGTCCTTCAGATGAGACCTTAAACTGAGGCCATGTCTGCGAGGTGGATGTTAAAAATCTTTGTGTTATCACTCTGGACACCTGTTTCAGGCTAAGTAACCGTGACCCATTCTGCTAATTTTGGTACAAAGTCTTCTGCTCTGCTACTTACGCTCCATAGGTGGGGATAGGAGGGGGTGGGGGTGCAGCGCGGAAGGTATTGTAAACAGCACGACCTCTTCCTCGTAAATGAGCCCCTCTGTAAGCCACAGCTGCTCCAGCTCCTGGATAGGGAAAGCCAGTCACTAGACAGAATAAGAAGCAGAAGCTACGTTACCCTGTGTTCAGCGGAGATCAAGCAGCACCCAAATTGACTCAGCGCTTCACGCAAACACTCACTGAACTGATTCCATGACCCAACACTTTGCAAAAACGCTGAATGCTTCTCAAAATATTTCGCAATGCTCACATTTGTATGGGTTTCACACGTCTTGGTTCTCAGTGCGATGAGGCTTAAAAATAAGTAGTTATAAAAATTGTCATGTGCTACTTGCTATGCGTATGTATGGGGAAAGGGCAGGTAAATGGGACTGAAAGGATTGAGATGTAAAAGAGCCAGCACAGACACGATGGGATGAATGACCTATTTCTGGGCTGCAAATTCCTATGGTTCCTTGTGCAACAAAGCTTTCAAATAGCTTAGAATGGGATTTCCCAGTGTAAACACACAATTGGAAGTTATGGTGTATTCATCCAAGGTAGTTAGCAGCTTTCAATGTTGTTCTCAGGTGCCTTAATTAGTGAGAGGCAATTGCAATCATCTACAAATATAACGCAACTTAACAGCTGTGTGAAGATGTAACCTGAACAATTCCTTACACACACACACAACCCACGACTGAAGAGTTCTTCATAAGAGATCACTTACTAGTCTCACCCATTGAAGTACCATCTGACCTTCCACAGTAAAAACCTATTGCGATAGACTTGACAGACATGAAGCTGCCTTGACTGAAGTTGTGGCTCATTCAAGTGAAAAATGTAATCATCACACAACAGAGTGGGATGTATTCTGGAGTTCGCTTAATTTTGAACTGAGCAACGATTAATTAACAAATCTCTCCGATCTCCTCTGCTGGTGCTCATTGGAAGTCACGGGCGGAACATTCTAGTGCACGTTCCGTTGTTTAAAATGGACTTTGTTCTGCAAGTTACTTGCATCGAGCATGAGGTTCACTTATTTTACTTTGGGGAAAATAAAATAAACCCCAAACCCTCTCCTAGGGTGATTTCTATACTGCCTGTTCAGGGGGGTTATCAGATCGAGATGACTACGGTATTCATGTAGGTTTTTTCCTAACAAATAATATCTAGTTACTGACATTAATGTGGTTTTATTTGGCTTTTACGCAAATTCTGCATCACAAGATCACAAGATGGGTTTGGATGAAGAAAGCTCTTCTTCCTTTGATCCATTTGATCTCATCCTTTTAAATGAGTTCAATGGTGCCTCCATGCAGAAATCCGTAATAATAATCCTTGCATTTGGTATAGCGCCTTATCTCGTCTTCGAGTCGTCATGGAACACTTATACAGAATATACTGTAAAGTGAATTGACTATATATTTTGTGGGCGAATCGCGGCAGCCAATTGTTCACAGCAGTGTCCCACAAACAGTCTGAGCTGGCTCTTTTAAAAAAAACAATCCTTTTAGTCCCAGGGAGGGAGGGAGGGAAGGGAGAGTGAAACAGCAGTCTTGCTGCATGTGCAGGAACCCCAAAATGGCACGTTTCATTTAAATTTTTTTTAAAAAGGACCACCGCTGAGAGCGATGCTTTAGGAGTTCAGCTTTGCCCTGACTGACTGGCTGATCCGAACCTTAAATCCATTTTAATGCATTGGTTCCCATTCAACATTGAAACAGCAGCAAGAGTCAAAACTATTTCAGCGAGACAATCACACAGATTAAGAGCAATTTACAGAAAAACAGCCAAGCATTTCACACCTGACGAATTCTGTATATACATTGTGCAGAAATGAACTCTCTGGATACAAGCAGGCTGTGGTCCCGGGTGTCTTTTGCTCCTTATTTGCATAACTCCTTTTGCCAGCTGATAATCTGAGCCCTTGAAAATTTTATGCCAAAGATCTCTGATTTTCCGTTCCAAACCCTCCTTTTACAAGAATGCACCGTCTAGAGATAATGCATTAAAACACCCCAAGCAACGCTTCCAGCCTTCCCCAGATAGCTCTGCCCCTCGCTGCCTTCTCTCGGATAAATTGTTCAGAAGAATTTCTCTTCTCTGCGGATTTACAGCAACTTTAGACACGATTCTCACTTTTTTTGGGGGGGGAGGGGAAGGCTGGAGTGGGGGGGAAATTCATCCGTGAAACGGGAGATATCTTTAGGGCTTTGCAAATGAACCAATTGTTAGTCATTAGAAACTTGATTGGCATACAATTAAGTGATCAATTACTCAACTTGCCCTCGGAGTATCTGATAGAAACCCATCAGGGAGTGTTGTACAGAGATGATGAAGTTGCCTAGCCTTTGTGGCTGTTGACACGGACTCGATAAATACAGTAACATAGGCGAAGGTGGTCATATTCTTGGAAATTTCTAATGCTAAAGACCATATTAGACCCCAGTGTTAATCACCAAATTAATCCCCAAGGTTAAATCCAAAAATTTAACCTCACACAAGACCCCAATGTTAATCCTCAATGTTAGACCACCTGTTCGACCCCACTGTTAAACCAACCCTGTCAATCCCAACCACAACACTCATTTCCAACCACAGTTTTGTTTGAGTAACTTCAGCATCGGAATGATTTGGACGCGAATGTTTCCATTCCCAATAACATGACTGTGCCCAGTAACAAGCAAATGAGCTAATTACTGCTATGCTGATTATTTAATTAAAATGTTAATCAACAGAAAATTAAATAACGGGATTAATCATCTTCTCTCTGAAACAGTCAGGCGTATGTTTGTTCCAGTGTGTTCATTGAATGCCTGCTGAAATGATTAAAACAGCAAAATAAACAGAAATATATTTTTAGCTTTTGTTGTATTAGTTCCATTGATTGATTGATTGATAAAGCCAATATTCTTTATTGACCGAAAATTAATTTGGCTGAGCTGGACATGGCTTCCATTTTTCCCGGTTCAATGTGTTTTCTGTCATTTGGTTCAATAACGCTTTACTACCTTGCAGAGAAAATAACTGCTCCAATATTTTTGACGTTTCTTTAATAGTTGCTGGAAGCTCGACTGCAAAACAAATGCAGTTGGCACAGAAGCGGCCACTGAATTTAAAGCAACAGTGTTCCCGTGCAAACTACTTCTTTTTCGAAGTTGTTGGGAATTTAAAAGATCACAAGATTGGATCGGATAAAGAAGGTCCTTTGGCCCATCTAATCTCATCCTTACAGAATCCCCTTGCTCTACACTCTTTCCATCAAAGCATCAAGCTTTAATTTAACATGACTCCCAGGATCCTGACCTCAACCACCCTTTCTGTCAACCGGTTCAAGTCGTTACTTCCCCTTTGGGTAAAGAAACACTTTCTCATTTTTAATTCTAAACGTACACTCTTTCCTTCTGCCCTAGCAGTCCACGCCAAATAGACTGCCTATGTTCCCGTACCATTTTCGATCATGTCTCTTCCCCCTTCCCCTTTGTCATTCGTTTTTTGTTCACGAGTACAAGTTCAGCACTCAGAGACTGTATAACCCAGAGATGTACAATCATCCCTTGTTTTTCTTCTCTGCATCCTCTCTGACCCATCGATATACCTCTTGAAGGAAAGGACAGCCAAAACTCTACTGAATATATCAAACGTGGCTGCACCAGTTATCTACACAATGCTGCTGGAGCTTCTCCTGACCTGTAATTCAAGATTGACAAGAAGGCCTTAGTATCTGTCAATCTTTTTCCCCCCCACCTCATCCCCCTTACAAGCACTGGGGTGTGGACAACTTGACTATTAGGTTGAGGGCTTTTCTATACCCTCAGGACTCCAAAAAAGAGATACTTTCTCGTTCAGTCGGATTATCATTTTCACAACACATTTTTTTTGTTGTTGTTTTGATTTTGACTTTAAAAGGGAGAAGAAAAAATGTCAAAAGAACATAGCAAAGAGATGTAAAAGACACCCTGATCTTTCATTTTCATCTGCAGTGTCTCCTGTCTTTATTAAAACCGGCTATGAATTGAATGCAGTGTAAGTATTTCTGTAGTGATCAGGTTACTGAAGTCCTCCTCTCAAACCATCGCTGGTATCCACACCCTCGGCAATTCATTTTGAATTCATGGAAACTGTCTGCAAATCGACAGGCAGATGATTGGATACTGGGGCTGCGGTGGGTTTAAAAGCTGCACTTAAAAGAGTTTTTAAAATCAATTTCTGACTGTGAGAAGCCTTCAGTAAGCAAAACAAGAGGAAATTTATGTAAAATATTGGGCATAAAATTGGACTGTACAGGACCGCAGAAATGGCATGCAGTCTTAAACAGGTAACTGGTCCATCTGTCATCACAGTGAGGCAGATTTGACTATAATAAAACTAAGCCTGGGGATGAATGGAGGAAGCCTTGCTTGTCACCAGCACTGGATTTATAGTGACCAACAGCACTGAACTGCAGTACAGAAAGCCTGCTGATAAACCGTGATTAATTACTGTCGATCCAGTTTATTCCTTTCGAAAGTATATTAAATCCTGCTATAATTATTTGTGAATATACCCGAGGAATGTGGGCAGGCAAAAGACGGCTATTTACTGCAGCTCCAGGGAATACAAAACATATGGTAGCGTTTTAGACTTGGCAAACTTCAGCGTTATGTTTAGGTCAAGAGAAAAGAATTGTGGTAAATTAATCAAGTGAGCTCAACAGACCCTCTTGCTTTGAACTGAACTGACGGGAAGCTCCATTAAAGATGATTTGGCGTGGCATCGGAAAGGGAGGAAATAAAAATGAAAAATTAGCCTTTTTTTGTGTCACCTGCCCTTATTTCAATCATTCCCTGCGTCACCTTTTCATACCGCACTCCTGCAGCTTTCATTATTGCTTTCACTTACTTTCTGACTTGTAAAATTATTTACCTGCATAAAACTCGGGGCCGTAGACAGCTCCGACAACTGGATTTAATTTCCAGCCTGAAAGAAGAGACAGGTCTGATGTGAAACAGCTTTGCAAGAGCAAATGTAATTCATCATAGCTAGCCAATGCTCGGTGCTCACGTTTTCTCTCTCGGCTTAATGGTCACTAGATTGTCAATTACTGCAGAATTTCAAAGTTAACTATTAGTATTCATTATTGATACAGGATGATCCACTTAGCCAAACAGTTACATTTACTGTGGAGCCTATTGACTACTAAACAATGCAAGACCAGTACACATAACACAATACTGTATTTATACAACACATGTTAGGAAGTATAATTGTTTAAGAGCTGGTAAATAACATTGCTGAATAAGTCAGATGGCATTTGTTGTCCAATTTTCTCTCCAATCTACCTTTACGAAACCCAGTATAACCCAACAACCTTCTCTTCCTCTTTGGCAATGAAGATTGGAATTTAAAAAATTAAAAACTACATTTTAAATTCAACAATCAATCAAAATATTGTCCTAAACATCAATTGTTTTTGAGCAAGAGGATGAAATCCCTGACACAAGATTATTATATCTTTCCCCACCCCACCACCTTGTTAATTTCTCATAAGGAAATTGAATTCAACTAATAAAACTTTTGCCTTTTAATCGTTCTGACCATGTGTTGTATAAACAATGTACAAAATGGGAAGCAGCTAATTCCACTTGTAACGAACACTTTTATAAGTTGAACTCACTGGTGGAATAAAGCGAGCAGTCCACTGTTCCCCAGCATGAATGTTAAACAAAACACATAGAAGAAGTACAGAATATAAAAGCAGTTTGTCTATAGTCATAATTGTACGTTAGCTGTAAAAGAACATCCGACTTTCGTGAAGGAGAAGCATTCAATTAAAGAGAAAATCCATTGCTTTACTTTAAACCATTCTGATCTGATTACATTTGGCAATATCTTAAAATCTCCATTTTACCAGCAAAAGATCCAAACCATGATATTTCCACCCAGTCGAAGCCTACGAGACTGTTTTGTGTTCACATTTAAGACTGTGCAGATTTGTAGAAGATTCTTCGATTCAGTCTCGAATTGGAAGCTGTTATTCTCCATTCCCCTCGTGTGTTTTTTTACACAAATTCTGTTCAACCTTCAATTTATATATGAATAAAATACTTTATTAGATAATAAATGAAAAACATCCAGTCGGGTGACCAGATTTTCATGAATCCGATGCCAGTTTACGATCTCGCAGGTTACACTGAATGACCTTGATCAATACAGCAGAAGATTCTGAACAGCAACTGAGATTAACGTGCTGGACTTTTGAGCAGATTCAATCACGCTGCCCTTTTGCTTGGAGAGGGAGGGAGTTCCGTACACACAGTTTGATGACTGTTCAAGATAAACTCCAAATTCCTTTTCCACGGCCAAGTCGTTGCCGTTAAAAAAAAAATCTTTATTAACAAACTGAAAAGGATTAAATTCCATTTGTGGCCATTTATGTCCAAATTCCCTGCGCTCTTTCCTACAGCAGCACAGTGTTAACTACATCAGAGTGTGAGCCTTGTCCTCATGGGTCCAAATCAACCTCCAATTTCTTCTAATTACTTCAGGTTAATTCAGGTGTTGGAGGCTTTTGGTGGCTCGGTGTTGAGACCTGTTCACATGGTGATTTGATTTGCAAAGGTTACTGCACTAAGGGGGTGAGCAAGTGAAAAATCTCAAATGGATGTGACCTGAATGAGGGATAATTTGGATTCCCGGAGTGACAAAAATCTGTTTTCGGTTCAAAAATTATCCCTCCGCACTTGTATGTGCTGCATCTTTTTCTGTGACCAACTAAAATATCCCATCTGGGGCATCTAACCTTCATGCCTAGGAACTAAAATATTGGCAAGTCATAACCATAACAATGGCACAATAAAAATAATAATAATACTTGCATTTGATATAGTGCCTTATCAAGTCTTCGAGACGTCTCAAAGCGCTTCACAGAATATACTTTAAAGTGAATTGACTGTATATTTTGTGGGTGAAACTGATATGTGGGATCAGTGATATAGGGCCATAGGAACATGAGGTGGCCATTCAGCGCCTCGAGCTTGTTCCGGCATTCTATTAGATCATGGCTGATCTGTACCTCAACTCCAATTATACGACTGATCAACAGAAGTACAGGATTGTGGTTTGTGGCGATACCTGTCAGCATTCCAGGCAGTGCAGGAAAAACGATCAACCTGTTCATACAATTACAACCTCACACGAACTTCAGATGCAGATTAAGAAGAACTAGTTTTGAAACTCCCTTGATTTGAAGTCTGGATGCATCTGAACACTTATCCCCGGTAATTGGCACTAGATCTGTTTAAGATGCTTTGAAACATTCTGTACTATGACATTGGCTCACCCAGTTAGTAATATCCACCAGCATAAAGTGTTTTTTTTTATATCCCAATTCTTTGTTTACTTTTCACTAGTACAACAAAAAAGTCTAAGACGATGTATTAAAAATGAAACCTAGCTTACGATCAACATCTTGTGTGGAGAATACAAATTGACGGTAACAATGCTCAACAGTATTTCAAGGTCAGTCAGGCAGCCTGAGAGCTTTACAGCACTGCAATAAAACTAAAATGCACCTTTTCAATAAAATGATTGAGAAGAAATGGTGACAAAAATTTAAAGTGGGGGCAATTTTAGTTTATTTCAGCATTTCTGATGGGGGTGTGGTGGGGTGGGGTGGGAGAGAGGATCAAAGGAGGATTCTGATTTATTGTAGTAGGTTTCTCAGTTAAAGAAGTTAATATTTTCAAGCAGCACCAACTAATGCAATTGAAATCAGTTTTGCTCTGTCCAGTTTCCATTTTCATTCCATCTATTTGACACTCGTTTAGTTCAGTTCTGACCTGCAATAACAACAACAACTTGCATTTATATAGCACCCTTCATGCAGGCTAGCGTCTCGGTGCTCTGACTTCCAGTCGTGTGTGCAGAAAACTGTTGAAAGGAATATTTTGTAGCTTGATGATTCATTTAGTCGGGAGAAGGGAGGGTTTTCTGGTTAGGAGCACCTAAACTGTTGTATCGAGTTTTCTCCCATGGGTTTCCATCTGCTATATCATTTTACTAATGAAGCTGATCCAAAACTCCGCCATTCACATCCTCACTTGCACCAAACTCTGTAGACCCATCACCCTAGTCAATGCCAGACTCCACTGCCTCAGCACCTTCGAACAGATCAACTTCAAGGTCCTCGTAAATCCCTTCAAGGCCTAACAGCTCCCTATCTCTGTGATCTTCTCCCACACCACCCCCTTCCTCTTGACAAACCTGGACTCCCGGTGCATTCCTTGCCCCCTCTGAATCACCATTGATGGCCAGGTCTGAGGTTACTATGTCCCTAACCTCTGGAACCTATTCCCTCTAGCTCTAGCCCTATTCCTTCTCCCTTGCTTGTGCTCTGACCTGCTATTCTGAAGCACTCCAAGACTGTGTGAAGAGCACTGTGTAAATGCATGTTGTTGGTTTTTGGAGCAAAGTCTTTCAATTAACAATGGATTAATCAATGGTGAGAGAGTCTCTTGTTGAAATAACATAATTCAATACATTTTTTTCCCCAGAAACAACATATAAATTATTTTTTTACTCATCGCTAACTGGAACAGAAAAAGAAATCGGAGTCAGACCAGGTTGCAGTGTCTTCCAATTCACACTAACTTGTTGAACTATAATTAGTGGAACACTATCATCAAATATTAGCACTTTGGTTCTGTGTAAGAATCAAGAGATCCTCAGGACATCCAAACTTTGGAAAGCGATGTTACTTTTTACGTCCAATTTTAATGAAAACAACAACAAAATTACATTTATAGAGCACCTTTCACGTCGGGAGGACATCCCAAAGTCCCAAAAGAAAAGTTGCAAAAATTTTCCCTCATGTTTGCTCTAACACTCTCCACTCTTGAATGTGCTGGAAAGGAACTGTGAGTTGGAAGAGAAGCAAGTATTGGTCCACATATTGAAACACAATTTACTAGCTGGCATTATTCAAATCACCCATTAAGGCCCCCAGTTTTCTTTTTATTGCACTAATTTTGCGTGTTAGATGTGTGTAGTAAAGCTCCAATTCACAATTCTCCTCGAGGGCATCACATACCTGTACGCGTATATCCAGGTGTAATTTGGAGCTTGGAGCAAAAGAGCAAAAGAGAGTGGAGCTCTTTTCTCGTCTCAGAGGCTACTTGTGAGTCTGCCCACAGAGGAATCACTGGGTAACAGGTACACTCCAGGATAAGTGCCCTTAAGTGCTCTGCTTTGCTGATTCAGTAAAATAACAGCAAAACATCCACAAAAAGTTTCATGCCCATCCTTGCAGGAGTGCTATTTGCCCGCTCATTTGCGTCCATTGCAAAAGCATTATGCCTTTCGCTCAAAATTATTCTGAATTTCATTCTTAAGTTGGAAATGAAACGGGTAAAGAGTGATTGATTCGATACAGCTTTACATTGTGGCGCATTTCAATGAAAAAAAAGACTATTCTCGGGAAATCATTGATCCATTGGCACGGCGGCTGCAGTCAGTGTGTCTTACCGTTTGTGTACTGATTTGGGGTCTTTTTGTTCGTCATTACTCTTGCTGTTGCGTTATTAACCTGCGATTAAACCATCAAACAAATCAGGTTCAGGAACAATAAGGATTTTTTGAGGAATAAATCAACAGACTAGCAATAACTCTGCAATCCATATATATATCAATACACAAACACACACAGTAAATGGTGAGATAGACACAGAGAGAGGAGCTCACACATACACAGTGTAAAATACCTTGCATCACCTCTTTTCAGTAACAAGAACTTATAATCCTCTAGTAATCATTTCACAGAGGGTTGGAACAGCCTTGTGTGAGCTCCATAATCTTGCTATCGGCACTCTGTACACACTGCAGGATGCTACTAGATTACTTACAGCAGCTCAATTGCAGCTAAAACAGTGCATGTCATTCCTTTTAATCATTAATTCAATAATACGCAACATCAAAATAGATACCCAAAAAGCAACAGAATATTTTGTGGGTTCAGACAATATTTTCGAGCCATTAGAGATTGATTCATTCATTCGTTCAGTTTAAGACATATCTCAGCAAGCTCAATCTTCTACATTTGTAGGGGTTATGGAAGCAATGCTAAACAATGATTACACTGTTAACTTTATTCTCCTGAATATCATTGCGCATTCCGACAAGAGATTGAGTTGCAACACTAAACTCTCTTTCTCTCTCGCCTTGCAGTGCACTTCAATCAAACCACATGTGAAATGCTTTCCATTGCACCTTTGGTTATTGGTGATGCAGAGGTGAGCCCACTGCTGTGTATGGAAAATATCCACCTTAGAAGCAAACTGATACATAATGTGGTAGACAGTGTGCAAGAATGCCACCCCCCTTCCCCCCCACCACCCACACATACACACACACACAGCAACACTACCTGGTAATGTAAGGATTATATTAAGTGAGAATTCAACCTTTGGAGCTGACACAAGAGAAGTAAAATCTTACAGAGGTGGCACATATACAAGTGGCACCAACTGCGACATCAATTGGAAATTATAAGTGGGCTGTTGTCGGGAGGCAGAGGCGACTATGTTTCAGCTGTGGGCAAACCAAACCAACTGCGTAGAGCGAATTGTAGGAACCATCTCTCACCATCGGGGAAGGCTCAAATCGGCACAGGAGGTTTGAAGCTCGAAGCAACTGTGCAAGTAGATGCACTGACTTGGGTTGAGAGCTTTGACGGGGGATTTTCCATTTAGGACCAACATCCTAATGATCGGAGGATCATTTTTCTCAAGTCTGCTACTTTGACTGGACAATGCAGTTCAGAAGTTTTCTCTTTTAAGTGTGCTGATTTATAACAGGCAATTTCCCCCCAAATAGTTTCTATGGAACCTGTTCTATTGAGTATGACAATGATGATAATTTCCTTCCAAGTATATGGTTTTGCAATCCATACACATGATGCATTTAGATGCACATTCATGCCGCAGATTAATGACCTCGGCTCTCACCTTTGCAAATGGGAATCGTACTAATGTTCATCTAAATGCACTGGCTGCAAAACATCATGCTTCATTACTGAGCAGTAGGGTCTACCTTCTCTCTCTCTAAATGTCATCCTTCACACCTCTCCATTCAATTCCTTTAAACAGCCCAGAAGCCACAGCACTGCATAAAATAAATTCACGTTTGATGTTTTCACAAAACAAAATGCTTTAGTCTTTTATTCTTTTGATTTTCTAAAACCAAATGAGGTTCTTTTCAAAACATTTTCTCCCCTCGTTGGTTTGTTTGTGTCATCTTATGATCTGCAGCTAATACGTGTGTTATGTGCGTGTTGTGTGTGTGTGTGTGTGTGTGTGAGATGTGTGTGGGTGTGTGTATGTGAGAAATTTTCTCCCCACCTGGCTGGCTTGATGTTGGTCACTTGAAAGTAGGTGAGAGGGAACAACTACTGCCCTCATGCAGTGGTCTCTTTAACATTGTTTAAAATGTTGGATCCAAACCCCAGTCTAATTCCCACCCAAAGACTTGTGCTTATTGCAGCGAGCGCTTAGAAATGATTTGTGTTAAAAAAAACAAAAAAAGTGAAGCTTTTACTGAAACTTGATAAATAGCAATGACATCAAATCCCACCTAATGAAGTTATTCGTTGGATTCATGATACGTTAAACACACTTAAATGAATAATAAACACAATAAGGGGCACATGTAATGTGTTTGTTCACAGATGTTGCTTGATACAATAAATATTGCATTTACCCAAGTCTAAGTTTCACCTGAGTCGAAGTCTAAGCAGGTGGATTTTAAAGGGTTAGGGTAGGGGGAAGGAACTTTACTTCAATTTGAAGGCACTCCCTGATCTTGGAGGTACTTTATAATGGGGGAGAAAGATACAACTCGGATTTGAATAGATATTTTGAATTAGTTATGTGTATATTTCAGGGAATGAAACTAATAAGAATTATGGACTGCAGTTGTAAAGCAGGAAGCACAAGTTATGTTGGCAAGAAAATCACCCCCTTATAGTTTGAGAGCTTAAAATACCCGCCTCAGGGTGAAAGCCAATGGGGTTCACCAAATACCGTGGATAATTTCACATGTATGTTACATATTCAATTTCCAGGCTGCACAGGTTCCAACATTACATTTGCACACCTTGCTTTTGTAGTAAACAGCTGTCTGAATTGATGCCCAAATCATTGCTAACTTCACTTTAATTGTGGTGTTGAACAATATAAAAGGTTAGGCAAATCAGGACATCTAGATTAGATACCCGATCCAGGCCTGAGATTAACCTAGTGGGTTATCACCAATAGGACATTAAATATGTAGGATGTTACAGGCAGGGACTTATAAAACAGGAAAATATTCTCATTTGCAACTGAAGGAAAAAAATCTCTTCCCAACACTTTCACGACAAATTGCTGGTGTGTTTTTTTTTTAAACACAGCTTGTTAGCTTTTGTACACATTTTTGGAACAAGATGACCTCTTGTAAACAGCAACTCTAAATGCATCAGTTAAATAATTTCACTCAAGGCATGAAGAGACTTAACTCGGGGACTAATTACATTTGCTTCTAACGGCAACTCTTACCTTGAAGTAAGAAGTTACTGGAAGGAATCATCTATAAGGGAGGGATGTGGCATGCACTTCGGAAATGAAAAGAGACAGAGGGAGAACAGATGAGAACCTTTGAAATGGAACGGGTCAGCGGTGATGGATTGGGAGAAGCCTGCCCCAATGTTTCTGGTGCTGCATCAGAATCTCATCTCAGTAATACACAATTCCAGCTCTGAGAAGCCACAGTAGTTCCAATGACTTTCCACAGCACATTTCGCTTGTCATTCATTACTTGCTTCCTTCCACAATTGGTGCTGTTACACTCCAGTAGGCATTTTTTCCCCCAAAAAACAACCATCAAAAGTTTTAACTATTGCATTTGTTGTGTCAACCATGTGAAGAATCCACTCAGGCACCATGGGTGTTATACTGTTTAGATCACTTTTTTTTAATAAACTAGATAGTGATAGTGAAGCTTTGTTGGTTGTCCACACAGTTCGTTTTAAGTATCGAACAAATTGACAAGATTAATGAAACTTTTAACTTCGTAACGAAAAGCACACACACGATGTTCTCCAACCTCACAGGAAAGCCAAAGTTATGACGGATAACTCTAGATGGACCAGGTAGATAGTTGTTGCATTGCATTGCAGTGTGAAAGAATGGATGGTTTTATCCTTTGGATTCAATAGCAGTGCCAAGTGTATTCTTGGGGGGTGGGGGGGAGGGAGAGAAAAAAAATTCAATTCATCCCCGCCACCAACAGCAACCAAGTCTGACTCCAATAATTCCCTGTTTTTCTACCAGGTGTCCACAAAGTCCTGTTACCCCCCCCGCCCCCACCCAATACAAAACAGTGACACAAGACTACTGGAGGAGCTGAAACAAATTGTCAGAGATACATTTCGCCTTCATCACTCCATCATGCTATGAAGCTGTTTGCACCGAACATGGTGACGGATCATTATCTGCCATGAAAACGATGGCTCTCACACATTCACACCGATCCTCTGGACATCTAAAAACAGTTAAACACTTGTACTGAATACAATTAAGTACTTCTGAATTCAATTATCATCATTCTTTCATGTTTCAGTCATTGGTCAGTGCACTGTGGAAAAAAAAACATGGGGGTAACAGGACTTTGTGAACACCCTGAACTATTGTACTGTAACTGGGAATTTGGGTTAAAATAAATCCTGAAAATATCCATTAAATAGAGGGACAAGACTTTCTGAAGGCAGAGTGAGGATAGGAGCACTGGACCAGGCTACGTAACGTAGTTGGCGGAGGAAGGGAAAGGTGGAAAATGGAAAGAAAAGATTTGTCCAAGGAAGGATAAAGCACAGTGACGAGCCAATGGAAAAGCATTAAATAGGCACCAAAGTGTGAGAAAAGAAGAGAAAGAATTAGACATGCACCTCTATTTTACGGCCTTCTACGATTGTTCCATTTAATTTCTCCCGTGCCCTGTCTGCGTCGGCACTTGTTTCGAAAGTTACGAAACCAAATCCCTGCATGCAGGTAAGAGAAGAGGAAAAAGAGAGAACATGCACATGGTTATACAGAGAATAAGACACAGTCTCATTTTATCGACATGTTAAGTATACCAGGCAAGAACATCAAGATAGGTAAAGCAATTTCTACGAGACTCTACAGTAACATAGGCCAAGAATACCAAACAGAGAGTAGTAGATTAAAGTGGAGATTGAGAGAGTTGGAGCAATTGGAAACAGACAGTTATCTACATTGTTTTGTGGTAACTCAGCGACATTTGGTTTGTGATTTTGTACTCGACAATATTGTGGATAAGCAGAAAAGGTCACTAACCAGTGAATTTAAGCTGTAATGACTAAGTGAAAATCAGCGTGTCCTCAGCTGCTGTTTTGTCTGCTTTCTGACACTCTGGTAACGTCATTTTGCTTTGCGAAATGTGCCCATGAAGTGAAAGTGACCATCGGAAAACCCTAAAATTCCACAGTCACAGCTTTTACTTTAGCTTTGCCACTTATCTGTTCACGCACCATTTCAAATGCCTCCATGTTCCTTGCCCCACATATGAGATATCCTGCAATCTCACTGCCCCTCCCTGCCAATGTTTTAGTCTGCGCTATGTGCCCCAGCTCCACTATTGGTGAAGGAACCGAAGGCCATTTTGCCCTCATTCTCTCCCCCAAATTCCTCCCATTGGCACCCTCCTCTCTGCTTTCAATACCCTTCTTAAAAACCCAGCCCTTTGACTCCAATTTCAATGTCTCCCACACCATGTGCCATCCTGCTTGAACTCCCACTCTCTGTGAAGCACTTTGAGACATTTTCCTACTTGAATGGCTTGGTAGAAATGCAAGTTTTTTTTGTAGAATAACATAATCTAATATTCTGCGCCCCACGAACGATACAAAGGAAAATTCAGGGAAATTCTTGAAAGAAGGCAAAACAATAAAATGTCCTGGCTTAAACAAAGTTCTCAAGATTCAGTTACATTTTGCTTTTCAGTTGAACACTTGTAACTGATTTCACTTACTGAGCAGAACTCTAATCATCAATCACTGACTAAATAGATTTTGTAGAACTCAGAAGTTACCAACTTGTAAATGGTGGAAATGTATGTGCTTGATCCTCCCACTCTGCGACCAGCTATTATATTGGCAAATAATTTGCCTGGGAAGGTTAGGTGCAATGGCCAAGACAAATTGCTAAATGGCCATAAAGCTTAGCGAGTTTGCAAACTCATAGAATAAGAGATCAGTTGACATCACCATAGTCAATATTTTCAATAGAACTATTGACTTTTCTCAGCGCTGAAGATAGCACATTGTTTGCCACCGACTGTTCAGTTCTGTTCGTTAGTTCGTTGCTGTTTGTCTTTCAGGCATGGATTAACCCCTCGTGCGATCGATAAAGAGAATCATGTCACTTTTGATGATATCCATCAAATAACTGATGAATAGGAGAGACTGGAGTGAGGCCGGGTATGCTTCCTGGACAACTGTGTGCTACTGATAATAGGGCAAAAGAGTATGTACCATAGACTTATGTTTGTATGCTTTGATTCCTTTTTGTGGGTAAGCACAATACCAGTACCTTCTACTCAGATGGGCCACCAGTTGGGAAGCAGCACAGTTCAAATGTATGAGCCAAGGGAATTGCTGATGATCTCAATCAAACTTTGTGAAGCTAAGCACTGAAGTCAATAACCTTTCAGGCATCAACAACAAAAACAACAAAATTACATTTGTATAGCGCCTTTCACATTGGGAGGACATCCCAAGGTGCTGGATGTCGGACTACAGATGTCGGACCCGAGCTGGGAGTCGGGATCGGGGAGGGTGGAGGGCAGGGGGTGAAGTAGGGTGATCGAAAGCACGGTCGAAGAGGCGGGTCTTGAGATGGGTCTTGAAGATGGCAAGGGAGCGGACAAGGCGGAGGGACTGCGGGATGGAGTTCCAGAGGATGGGAGCAGAGCTGCAGAAGGCCGGCCTGCTAATGGTGGGCCGAGCGAGGCAGGGAACGTGAAGCAGGCTGAGTGGAGGGAGCGGGCAGGATGGTGGGGATTAGGAGGTCGTAGAGGTAGGGGGAGCAAGACCATGGAGGGCTTTGAAGGTGAGGACCAGGATCGTGAAGTGTATAGTTTGCATAGTCAAGCCTCGATGTAATGAAAGCGTGTATGAGGGTTTCAAGGCTTTTGAAGAAGATGTTTCAACATTCATGTGCCAGATCAGAGGGCTACACTTCAGTGAAACTTTATTATCTGGCCTTGGATTCAGATGACCTTGAGCAAATATGTTCTCATCAATTATGCCTTAACTACAGAGTTGTGTGTTTTGACTTTATCCTTGTCTTGAGAGACCAGGGACTGTTTCCCTGCTTTAAGGGTCAAAATTTGTAAATCAAGGAGAACCTATTTTCGAATTCGAACTCATTCAACCCGGCTGGTTCTCAAATTCAGTGAGCAACATAGTTTCATTCAGAAAACCACAAGGATAGCTCGTTCATTATTTGCTTTCCAGGCAATCACACTTTCCGAATGGTATTAATTACGACATGTTGAACATGTGAATTACCACTATGATAAACTGATGTCTGGACGTGATAACATACATCTGAAGATGTACCTCTTTGGTCGCGCTTTCGGTCATCTTTCCCCTCCCCACCCCCTTTGGCTCCCACTAGGGTGCCCAGCCAGCAGTGTCAAGCTTTGAGATGTCCTCCCAAAGTGAAAGGCAAAATATAGATGTAAAATGTCCTGTATCTAATCTTTGTATAGTAAAATATAACATTGCACTGTTAACACGTGGAGATTAGAGGTGACAACCTTTGTCCAAGATAGGATGTCTATACATAAAAAAACAGTGGAGCACACTGGATTTCTAACATTAGCAATCTAGCCAAGTGAATGTCTCTGCTAGCCAAGAGTTACTGATCTACTCTGATACCATTTGTGATTGCGTGTCCATTGACAGAAACAAGTGGATCACAAGTAGCACTAACGTGGCAAGACAAGAGGGTTATTGGAAACTAATTACAATGAACACAAGCTTATGTAAAATCTCTTGTAATTAAAATTCTTTTTAAAATAAACTTTGAAAAATGATGCTCAGATCATAAATCATACATTGATATCTCACACCCCTGCAACTTTTTGTAGCAACTTAAACCGTTTGTGTTCAATTAACCCTTTGACCACCACGAAAGCCTTTCAGCTCCATTTGAAGTGCTTACTTTTTTTAAGCACGTTATAGTCGGTAAAGAATTCATCCATAGGATCTGCTGAAGATGTTGGATTTGAAAAAACAGAAACACGGTACATTTGTCCTGAACAAGTGATGGATGGTGACAGCTGTGGGAAGGCAGATGAGGTCATTTCCTGAATGATAGCAATGTCCTTTATTTTGGAGGTGGGCGGGGAGGGAAGAGATAGTGTTGATTCAAATCAGGACGTGAGGAAATTGCATCAGAAGATGCTGCAGTCTAGTTTGATTATAGTCAGCCCTTAATCCAGACCTGTTAACTCCGGTTTGCGGTTTGGGTTAAGTGCTATGCGACTCTACCCTGCGTGAGGGGCACTATATAAATGCAAGTTGTTGTTGGAACAAAGTAAATTTAAGGAAGACAACGAGGTAAAGCATGCAATGAGTAGGTCTAACGTTCCAGAGATCGTCTAAATTGTACAAGCATTCCTTTCGAATCGTTTTCAATTCAGGCCATTTTACTCAAATTCTACTTTTTAAAAATCATTCTGAATCCGTCTCTAAAGTTTCGGAAAGGATTTTGATAAGGAGGCATTTGCAACTTCAGTTCAAGTGGCTTTGATTATAACAATCCTCACACTTTGCATTTGATATGGTCAAAGGGCACATTGCAGGGAGCTTTGTTGGTGACTGACTCACAGGCATGTTGGTTCCATACTGCATTATGATTTAGAATGATGTTGGCTGATAGCCTTTTGCCAAGTATAACAGAAAAGTGTCATTCAAAGGGTCAAACTGCAAAACTCCTTCAAGATAATGCATGGCTCAGTCTTAACTGAATGCTAAAGTTGTCACAGAAATATCGCATGTTTGGAGTTTGGAAATTATTCTTGTGCTGCAGTGACTTGTGAACAATGTGCACCTTTTAAACGTGCTAAAATAAACCGCCAGTTAACATTGGGTGAATTGTTATTCTTATTGTCACTTATTGCAGCTAGTGGCGAAAGCCTGAATGGCTAAAATGCAATTACATGCAGTGGCATGAAAACTTTCATTAAACATAGTGTGACTAAAATAGAGAGAATATGCAAGTTTTGCTAATTGTTTTCACTGAGAATGAACAATCCTCCTGTTCAAATTAGACCTGTGTTGGTCTCTTTCGCCCCCAAAACACACAGTAAATCCTGTGAAGCACTTTGAGACATCCTCCCGATGTGATGAAATGCACAGTTCTGCCTCACTTCATCATTTGTGGCCTCTGTGTAAAAGGCCAGGTTTAAGAGATGCAAATATCTCCATGCCCAGCCACAAGGACTTGGCATCATCGGGTCCAGTTTGACCCCTTCCTCCAGCCTCTATTAGCGCTGCTGGAAGGAGGCAGCATGGTGAAAGCATGGTGACGAGAGCATCTTACCGCTAACGGCAGGTAAAAATTGGTTTAATGCTGGAGGTAACACTGCTTCCATTTATTGCCAGCGGGGAAATGTTACCCCTTGATCACCCGAAGCTACTCTTTTACACATTAACCCATTAAACCTGCTGTTTCCCACATTAACCTTTTAAACCTGTTGTTTTCCCACATTAATCCCCTCAACCTGCTGTTTCCTCACGTTAATCCTTTAACCCCGTTGCTTTCCCACATTAATCCTGTAATCCTGCTATTTCACACATTATCCCTTTTTAAACCTGCTGTTTCACCCAATATCCTCATCAGGACAAGAAGGGCATTCAGCAGCTTCGGAGCAATGTTCACATTGTGCAGTAAATGATATTCCTTCCACATCCTCCTTCAGTTGAGTGTCAGAACAGGGAGATATTATTCACACTGCAATCAGACAGATTTTTTTTTTTAAAAAAAGCGTCCTGAAAACATGTGCGCAGAACGTGTGGGATATCTGAAAGCAGCATTTGGGCTCCAATCAAGTGTTTTGCTTAATTCCTTCCGCACCGTGTCGTGTTCCCGGCTAATCTAACCTGCGCAGTCCTCACAGGGTTAATAAGCACATGAAAGCGAGTGCTACACCAATTGTATCTAGTGAACGTGCAAGGAAGAGAATCAAACAGCTGCAAGGGAATTGTGGAGGAATGTGTCTCGGTGTGCGATTGAGCGCTCGTAGCAACTTTGAGCGATCAGCTGTTAAGCAGTGACTGAGGCTGACAGGGTCAGGGAGCTGTTAATAACAGCAGAGATACGGCGACTAATTTGCGAAAGGATATTTAAATAGCGGATCCTGGAAGCACTCGGATCTGTCTCAGGCCGACGGAACTCTCTATCTGGATGCTGATTACAGCTGATCACCTGCTGGGCACCAGGATTCTCCTGCAGGCTGCCATTCGGCTTCACGGAGACGGAAACTTGAGACCCCCGAACAATCTGCTATTTTCAATTCCTTTTTTGCAAATGTTCCAAATTAGACCCTGTAGCCATTGACCCAGGTGGATTTTTGTGGTCTTGTTATTGCATTTTTGTTCAGTAATAAAGCTCCTTTGCACCGTGTAACTCGGGTGCATACCCAAGGACATACCCCCCCCCCCACCCCCACACACACACGCCACACGCTTCCCTACATGTCCCCAACCGACATACATACACACCTCCCACACACACACCCACCCAACACACACACACCCCTCCCCCTCACACACACCACCCTCACAATATGCATACTCCCCCCCCCATGCGCAGCCACCCCCCAACACGCGCAGCCCCCCTCACACGTGCATAGCCCCTACACACGCACAGCCCCCTCACGTGCACAGACCCTACACAGGCACCCCCGCCATATGCACACATCCCCCATACGCACACAACCCCGACGCGCACACAACCCCCACACGCACACAACCCCCACATGCACACCCCCCACACACGCACATTTCCCCCATACACGCACACACCCCCACACGCACACACCCCCCTCCACACACACTCCCCACCCACACACCCCCCACCACACACACATACACCCACACATGCAGATTTACACACGGATGCAGTTCATTCACTTCGACTGACTACATTTGTCACAAAAAAAGGATAAAAACAAGCTGTGAAGGCGTCACCTACCTTAGATCCTCGCTCATTAAAAATGATTTCAACGTCTAAAATTTTACCAAATTGCTGCAAAAGAAACAAGAGAGATAAGCGTTAGAAAAGCAGTCGCATTTTGGTGGTGGGTGAAAGAATACGCAGAGAAATGAACGACCCTTTTGCACGCAGCAAGTGCACTCAAGTAGCTGCAGAATAAAGATTGTGACAAGAGTTTGACCACTGAAGCCTCCAGACAATGCGAGTAACCTTTGCCTCAGCGTATTTTGACCATAGTATTGTGCACCGTAACTTCTTTACAGTATAATAGGATTATCTCTGCACTGCAGAAAATGATTCACTGAAAAATGCAGCAATCTTGTTCAGCGGTTATGTGATGACCAACATACAAGATGATGTCAAAACCCATCATGTGTCTGATAAATCTTACTCACCGGTTACCCTCTAATTTCCCCAGATATGACATGTTTGGATGACGAGAACAACAACAACTTGCATTTATATAGCGCCCTTCATGCAAGGCAGTGTCTTGGAATACTTGAACAGGGGCAACCAGGAGGGACATATAAGAAATTGCACAGAGATGAATTATTTAATGAATAATGCAATTAACAACCAATGAACAAGTGCGTCGATACACTGGTTAATTACTTACTTAAGGACACCTGGCATTTCCTCTTTATACTGGCGTGTGCGCGTGACTACAACAACAACAACTTAGATTTATATAGCGCCCGCCACGCTGGACGGTGTCTCAGAGCGACTATACACTATCCTTGTTGTGGGTTTGCCAAAAAGTGGACACAGCCTAACGATGCCCCTCTTATTGAATCCTTTCATAATTTTAAACACCTCAAGCAGTTTCGCTCTCAATCGTCTGACCTCCTAAAGAGAAAACCTGTCCAATTCTTGATAGCTTTATCCACTCGTCACTGATTAATTACATCTTAGTAAATCTACATAAATTTACTAAGTATATCTAAGTGAATCCAAGTTATATAACAGGAGCAAAGGAACAATGAACTTTGGATGCTGTGCTACAAGATTAACAGGAAAAAGAAGCTGTGTGCTCCCAACAAATGAGAGCCGACTTGGCAGGAGTATAATGCTCTGGAAACAGAGATATATTACACAAGGATAATATAAATGCTGTTTGTTCTAACACGCAAGAGTACATGAGTTCATGATGGCTCGATAGAAGAGTGAAGCTCAGATGTTTCATAGCATTTGAACTCTAAGATGTGTTATATTTTTGAAACTCACTACAAATGAGGTTCCTCACACAATAAATATGCGTGCGACTTCTGAGGCTCAGCTTTCATCTATTTTTATTCATTGTTGGTTTGGTTGATGTGCCTTTGTATCGTGTAATGTGAGCTGCGATTGTTATCTGGGTTTTACTGCAATGGTTACAGGAAAATAGCACACACTGAAGATTAATTCTACTTTAATACCAACATTATAATCATTCAATATTATGGCGCTGTAGCGATATTGTCATTGTTACTTTAGCAAGTTAAATTCATCATTTGCTTCATGGCTGTTTGGGGACATTGCTGTGCATAAATTGGCTGCTGCGTTCGCCTACAGATATACAGTCACTTCACCTCAAAGCAATTATTGTGAAGCACTTTGCAACATTTCGATGTTATAGGTGCTATATCAAACACAGGATTTATTCTCATTATAATGCTTTTGTATGTCAATACAAAGTTATTCATTGAGAAGTAAATTACTCCTGCACTATAAAGCTCTTACACTGACCGATCTGGTATCTTTTAGAGTCAGAAAAATATTGCTTGCACACGTCACATTCCCAGGTTGTAAACATTCATGCAGCAGACTTTATTGTATTATAATATAATTTATTAACGCTGTGACTTTTAATACTTTCTTCAAACATAATCTGAGATCAACTAAAGATGAGATACAGAGTGCAGGGAATACGGATTCATGTATTTATGGCAAATATTAGTCATCTGGTCCTTTAGGTTTCATGTGCACACACAGCATTTAACACTTAAGGGAAAATGCTACAGTTGATAAGAAAAGACTATCTATCAGTCTCCGAACAGTCTGTTGTTCTGCATTACAAAAAAAAGACCAGGCGGGATAGGCAGACTGGAGGAAACAGCTTAGTAAATGCTTTCAAAGGTTAAAACGTTCTGCAATGTTATGGTTCCAAAGTGTCCTTGTCGATTACACTGAATTTCTTTTTAATAAGAATTCTGCACCCATGGAAATTTCTGCTACGTTCCTACCATCCAGTTTCTCTCATAAAACAGAGGCTTGCACTGTCATAAGTGACTATTTCCATGAATATTGATTGAAAAGCAAATTGTGTTTTCTTTTTTTTATATATTCTCAGCATTTACTCCTAACGACTAAATATTTCGATCTGTAAAATTCGCCTTCAGTGAATGCGTTTTGCCCACGTTTTATAGCCACTGTACTTGCTTCTGTTTTTCTAAATTTAATTTTCCCATTATAATGTATTAAGTTTAGGCTAAAGCAAGAGTGTTGAATATTTCAGTTGATGAATCTTTCAGCTGAAAATGCAGCAGAAATATTGCTTCAAAAAAGCACGGGGATATTTCACTTGGAGGTTCTGAAATGTGTTTCTGGTCTTAATTCTTTTGGGGGGAGGGAGAGAACAGAAATTCTATCAGACACCATGATTTATTTTTGTCGCAAATTTCGAATGCAAAATATTATACAATGATATTAAGGAAGCGCACAGAGACGCACTCCATATCTTTAATTCACAACACATCCTGAGCGTAAATTGAAATAACCTGTGATTGTTCGATTTTTTAGCTCACTATTCAAATTGTTCTTTAACGCTCATGGGGTCCAACCGGCTATTTCTCATAAGTGAATGAATTCCGATGGAAACGGGTTTGTTCACTAAACAACAATAGCCTGCGGTGGCACTTCTGCACTCAACAATCCTATTTTGCCACTGCTGTTTGTCATTTCATTTGATAGGAATTGATCCGTGAGCCAAATGCAGATTACCCCAAGAACTCTGTTGTGAAATGATGGGGGGGGGGGGAGGGGGGAATGGATTTTGTGACCAATTAGAGGGGAACGCGTGAAAGAGCAATGGGAACATTGGGATCAAGCCGGAAAAGTGAGACAGGACAACCCACCAACTCTTCAAGTAAAATTACAGGTAAATAGAAAACAAGACTCCACCATGAAAGAGACAATACAAGGTTCCAAATTGTTGCATATAATGAATTTACCATTGGTTTTGTAAAGAAGGAGCGGATTTTAAAGACTTTGCTTATTGCCTTATTGATCCAATGCGCCATCAGGCCCTGTCAGTGAAAGGGAGGCTGAGAGGTTTTCTTCCCACAGGGAGAGAGCATCTCAACCTGAAAAGAAAAAGTTTACACAACTACTTGGCCCAGGGAGAACAGAGTTTCCCCGGCCTGCTTCTTAGGAGGGTTTCAGCCACTGCGCCCCAAAACTCTGGAACACTCTTCCTCTATTCCTCCACCTTGGCCCTTCCTTCCACATCTTCAAGGTCATGCCTGGAAACCTTCCTATTCGACCATGCCTACGGTCACCTACCACTCCCTCCGTCACTGTCAAGAGCTCTGGGACACTGCTCTGCGTGAGCGGGGGGTCTGTATAAGTGCAAGTTGTTGTTATTGTTAATTTAATCATAAAACTTTTCAACTATCTGATTTTTTTTTAACAGGAGCTTGGACGCAGAAAGTTCCTCTGCAACATAAGAGTCAAAGTTGCTCTTCTCTTATTTTGTACCCAATGTTTCCCTCCGTTGGTTTCTTGAAGGTGTTTGACACTCACTGGGAGGGTTCACAAGTACAGCCAGTGTTCCTGTAACGCTCTCATCTCCGAACCTAGTCAGTGACCCTGGAAGGTATCACAGTTGAGCTCAATCCTGTTCTCCATCAAATTGGATACTTATGTAAGGGTTCTGGGACTCTACCCTGCGTGAGGGGTACCATATAAATGCAAGTGGAAACAGGAGTCGCTGGGAACATGCAGCAGGTCAGGCAGCATCTATGAAGACCTATCACTGCTCACAGCGGAAGTTCTGACAAAAGGTCATCAACCTGAAACGTTAACTAATTTTCCTCTCTCAATAGATGCTGCCTGACCTGCTACGTGATCCCAGCGACTTCTGCTTTTATTTCGGATTTCCAGTGTCTGCAGTATTTCAACTTTTATATAAATGCAAGTTGTTGTTGTCCAATTTCCAGCAGAGGTAACTAAATGTGTTCCCTGCCTAACCGAGATGCGCTGAAGCAAATTACTATACCCTCCCAACTTAACATTTGAATGCCTGAGAGTCAAACGTGATTTATGTGGTGCAGGGCTAAACTGAGTGGTTGTGCTGCTCACTGGGGAAGTCTAAGGTTATTTTAAAGGTACAATAAATGTTCAACTGGCAGCTTTAATTTATGCTCGATGGTTTCTTTCTGCGAGGTAAAAAAAACTCCCCGATACTTTGAATCAAGCCTATTAATGTCATCAACATCATGTGGAAACACAAGAGTCTCGGAATGCATTCATTAATGAATGTATTCACCAAAAAGGAAATTTAGCCCGTTGTTTACCCGCTCCCCCAGTGGGTTGGCGGATACCCACTGGGGGTAGGATCAGACTCTGTACCAATGGAGGACCGTGAATGTTGTCTTCTATGGTGAAACAGCAGCACCTCTCTTTATTACAGCCCTTCTTTCCCAATGGTACCCATTCAACTCCCATCTGGTAGGCTCCAAACAGGTTCAAAATCTGCTCTGCACTCTCCCACAACATGGGAACACTCCGGCACACTTTAGTAAACCCTTAGGGATGGCTACAATTTAATTTTACCTACAAAGTACGCAGTGACTAAACTTTACATTTAATTCCTGTGAATCGCTTTGAGAGTTCCACCTGACATGAAAGGCCCTATATCAAATGCAAGGATTATTATTATTATTAATAATTATTAGCTCCTTTGAAGATACGACTTAATGATTCTATTTTTAAAAACAGATCCCAGAATAGGAAGATTGCAGGGAGTGGATTCCGGGAAAAAAAACACCATTGTGACACGTTCTGTAAAACTGGCTCATATTTCTGTGCTTAGGATACCTCTTGACAGTTTATTTTTTTTCTAATCTATAGTTCCCAACATGTATCTATGGAAGATCATTTTTACAGCTGTGATATGACAGAAAACATGTCTACTTCAAGCATTACAAAGGACGTTCATTAATCCCAGTCAAAGCAAACGCCAGCCAGCGAAAGTGAACTTTTTTTTCCTCCCTCTGTCCTGATGATCAGATGAATGCTTGCTTTGATTGCCGGCGCTATTTCATTTTAAATAATTACCGCACCAAACAATCCAAATCACTTTCACATTCAGACAATATGGGTGAAATGGGACTTTATAAACAAAAGGCGCTGACTCCAATTGATCTGACTGAAGGATTCTTGTGAGGAGATGATGAGAATTCTTTCATTGAAAGATCTAGCCTTTGTTCTCACTGATATCAGTGTCTTTCCCCTCTCTCTCTCTTGCTCTCTCTCTTTCTCTCTCTCCCCCTCTTTTGGTGCTGTATTTTTAAGGACATCCTTTTTGTGTCCAATTAGTAGATTGTGCTTTAAATCTTAATGGACCCGGAGGGACAAGGCATGATGTTCAACCTGATCTCTCTCCTCCTCTGACAGGACACATCAAAGCCTTTTTTATATATCACAAATGGCTAATTACAGCAAAACTTTCCTTTTAATTGCACCGAAAAGTCTATGAATTCTATTTGAGGCAATGGTGCTTGGGGCTCTTAGTTGACACATCTAAACGTTCTTCTATAAAAAGCTCAGAGCGAGGTGACACATGCAGGCAAACTCTCTCAGCCTCTTTATAAGTGACCGTGCTTCTGTGGCAATGTAATTTGCAGTTTAAGTGAGTTCAGTTACATTTTTTAAAAAAAATAAATAAAAGGGATCAATTAAGTCATTCGCTGGCAAACAGAGAAGATTCTGGGAGTTAGATTCAGATCTCTAGAATTCCACTTGGGGAGGGAAGAGAAGGGAGCGTGCCTCGATTTACTCTATTTTCTCAGCATTTCAAGGGGAGAGAAATATTACAAGTTGTTGAATTCAGTCTTAACTGTGAAACTGGTTTTCTGTCATTTCTTTTGAGAACCAAAGAAAGCCGGTTTCAAAGATAGGACTGAATCCAACAAATTTCGCCAAATTCTGGACACTCTGACATGGCTAAAGAAAATAGAGTAAATCCAGACTGCAGGGGGAATTTTTCTTAAGCCTTTAAGTAAACGGCGCTAAGGCTAAGACCATAGACATTTTGAGGCTTCTGGCATTAAGAAAGAATTTAAAACGTAAAAACAGCACATTTATTGATGTACGATTTGAGGCACCGGTGAATACTGATGAACTTAATTTATTAAATGCTACCAGGCTCCGAGATGGCATTGCTCGCTGATTCCGTCAATAATTTATGATACGTCATATGGTGGCAGGAACGCAATTGCAGTCAGGGCTGAAATGTAAAACATTGTGTTTATGTTTCTCAGAAATATTTTTTACTGCTAAGCGACAGATTTCTCCTGAGGGTAGCTAGAACTTGGCATCGGGGATGATTTACACAGCTGCACTCATTTATTGTTCTGTAGTAGCTTCCATTTTATTACCCTCAGGGCTGTGAAATATTTATTTTAAAACCAATGATTATTATAGATATTGTACGGAGATAAGTCAAAGGCAAAAGTTACTTTGGTGCCTTTCAAGATTATTCCGGAAAGTTTAATACAATACTCTAGATGTTGGGAAATGTTACGTGAATAATTATGTTTGCTTCATGGCAGTCTGATGTTCCTGACACAACACAGCCTTTCAAATCTGACTGTAGCCAGTAACACCATTTTATTCCTAACAATTTAAGATGTGCAGAATTGTCCTTTGGATGCGATTTAAACCAAATCTCCCTCCAGATAAGTCGAGGTGGAGTTTTGGACCTTTTATGATGACATTTGTGGGGTGAAAAAAATGGGACTTGTGATGTGCTAATCATTACGGATGATCTGATAATCATCATGCGTGATATTACCACATTCCTNAAAAATTACAGCCCAAACCAGTGGAAGATTATTGAAGTGCTGCTGGCTTTCACCCTCCATTACCCATTGGTTTGACCCAAAGCATCCAGTAGTGACTATTGTTGTTGTTGCCCACAGAGTACACCGATTGAAACCAGCAATGGGGACGGTATTTGCATGATGTGTCCACCGTCCCCTAATAACAGATGTTAATGTATCTTTTGTAAGCTGAGATAATTCATTGACCCAAATCAACGCAGCTATTGTAGGAAACGTAACTCTGGAAGCATCTTTCTTTGCAACGTGGTAAGAAATAACATTCAGGGAGAGACAGCAGAGAACCACAGGGACAATTTTCCTGCCTTTTGGGGTGTGTTTTCCAATCGCAGCTTTGCGGGGTTTCCCTGTATAGACTGTGTTGAGTATTTTGCTCCCATGCTGTACTTTAAAATAGCTGGCGAGAAAAAGGAACAAACATCCCGTTCACTCCAAGGTAACTCATTCAGAAAGCCAGACTCTTTCATGAACTGAATTTATCTCAAAAGAATGAATGCCGGTGCAAAAATTGACCACTTAGCAAATGGAACAGTTTATGTGGAGATATTGAATAGCAGGGAAGTTAACTGGGTCTCGGAGATTTTCTAAGCCAAATAGGAAAGTGCAGAGCACTTGACCAAATTGATTGCAAAACTGTACAAAGAGTCAAGTTACCAAGAGATAGTTTGCTCACGAGAGATGTGATGTCCTGTTTAAAAACATGTTTAAAAGCTTGCCAGATAAAAAAAAACTGTACTGATAAATCTAAATGGAGCCTTGCTAGTAGCATGAAACCATTCCTGTGGATATTATGTGGGACGTCCTCCCGACGTGAAAGGCGCTAAACAAATGGAATTTGTTGTCGTCGTTGTTATAATCATTTACAAGTACAGCATGGAAAAGGAAGGAAAATCCCTTAATCGGAAACATAGTTAGTTTGATACAGTAATTTCACCTATTGAGGTCTAACGAGTGACCATTGCTGATGGGATTCCTTAACAAGTAAACTAGGAACACATCACGCTGACTCAGGGGAACTCTGCTCTGACGCAGGCGATTTTCAGAGAGTAGCTTCCTTACCTGTGAACTGTTTGGCAGAATAGGAAGGAATCCCTATTCGGATTGCTTATTAAGGAATCCCTGCTGATGGATATTAGGTCCCTGTAATTGCCAATTGCTAAACCAAGGGGGAGAGCGGTTAAAACTAGAGTCAGCCGAAATATAGTTCCTTAATCACAAAAAAAGAAACTCCAAATAGCTTTAGAGAGTAAGAGGTGATTTAATACTACCTCTTAAACTATGCTATACTGTACTTCCAATTCCAGCTACTCATTCATCCACCAAATGCCGTTACCCTCACACCAACGTGGGAATGGACCTCAGCATGTAGTTATTAGGCTCTATTGGCAAAGGAAGCACTATGTCTGAAGGGGTGCATATCTATTAATAATTTACAGCATTTGGCAGCCACCTCATCTCTTCGCATCTCACTGAGAGAAATAAAACTGGTGTGATGAGTTAATTCAAGGAACCAAAATGCTGTGCTATCTGCTAAAGTGCTACTTGCTGTGGCAAGTCTCGTGTGCAATCAAATCATGTGCTTAACACACTTACACCAGAGTGTAATATCTCTTTCCACTGACCGGGTTTGTTTTGCAAATATTGGATCACTTAGATTCTATGATCTGAGTTGAATTTTTCAGCAAGATTTTAAAGCATTTGGTTCTAAGGATGCTGTGCGTCCTATTTAATTTGAAATAGCTCTAATTTTTTAATAGTTTTAAAAAAAAGGTTTGAAGTCTATATTTAAGGAATTCAAAAATCAATACTCCAACTCAGCCATTAGACCAAGTCTGTTCTCTGCTTCCATTCACTTTGTCTCAATGTCGGGTAAAGTGGGAATCGTAGCAGTGAGCTGAAAACAGCTGTAACTAAACCATGTCCCTTTTGTGAATTGGCTTCTGGTCAGGTGTGAACAGCTAGTTACAACTCTCTTAGCTTGACGTCATCAAAAGTCATAATCCAGGACCCCGAATTTCAACTCAGTATTAACCCGTCAAACTAATTTGCCTTCAAACGGAAGGAATTGCTGAACGGTTCAATTCAGTATTCATTTTGAAGCCGGTTCATTTCAAGAACTGCAGAAAAACAGCTTCCAAATCAAGACTGAGCTGAAGACTTTTCAACAATTCTGTGTGATCTTACAATTTTTTGGCAAAACTTATTTGACAGGCTAAGATAAGGTGGAATTTCTGGGCTCAGGTGAGGCATTTGGGGAACCTACTCCACATCTACTGGAAAGAAGAAGAACAACTTGCATTTATATAGCACCCTTCATGTGGGATAACGTCTCAGAGTGCTTAACAGAGTGGGGAAGTAACCATAGGCACGGTTGAAGAAGAAGGTCTTCAGGCGTGATCTGAAGATGGGCAAGGAGGAGGCAAGGTGGAGGTATTAAGGCAAAGAGTTCTATAGTTTGGGTGCATATTGCCCCTTCCCGCATGCAAAGCTTCTTTAAATAACTATCTAATTGAAAAAGCCGTAATTTGACTCAAAATCCCCAATTAGGAACAAAGAGGAATTTAAAGCCCTCTTTGTATTGCACCTGAAATTGGCTCTGGAAATCACTGTGGACTTTTTGTTCTGTGAAAGAGCTTATCAGTAAACCATTCAATCGATTAAGATGCTTCCAATGTGCTTGATGCTAAGGGAATTGAAAGCCAGTGAATCTGTGAGATTTCTAAGGGGAAGAAGGAAAGTTGATCCATTTGTGCGATTAAGAAGCAAGCGTGAACTTACCCCGAACATTTGTCGCAGGTCAGGGTCCCTGAATCGGAAGGGTATGTTAGATACATGTAACCGCTTGGGCTGCTGTTTCTCTGTAGTCTCTGATGACTGTAGCTGCTGTGACGAGTCTGTCTGTGCGGCTTCGTCTGTCTGCTGGGAGAGATGGAGAGGAAATGATGAAGCATAGCTGCTCTGGCTCTACGGAGGCTAAGTTCAAGGCCTTCATTCCTACTGCACTCAGCGCTGTAGGTGTAAATTTAACGGTGTCACTGAAAGAGAAGGTGATCGGGAGAATTAATTTGACAAGAGAGTACTGCAATATGAAATGCCATTGCCACAAACGATTAGACAATCGGGCTCTTCATTATCTAAACAAGGCATTTCAGAAGGGACCTTATAAAGTTATATCACATTTTAAATGGGAATGAAAAGGTAAACCCTGAACAATATTTTAGGATGAACTAAGACAGTAGAACAAGAGGAAACAAGTTTAGAGTTCCCAAGAGCAATTACAGGATAGATACCAGGAAGCTTTTCTTTACCCAAAGGGTAATTAATGACTGGAACAGGTTGCCTGGAATAGTGGTCGAGGCTAGGACGCTGGATTCACTTGAAGAAACAGCTTGACGCTGTGATGGGAAGGCGGTAGAGTGGGTATTTTGGAAGGATGAGATCAAATGGGCTGAAGGGCCTTCTTCATCCAAACCAACCTTGTGATCCTATGAAATGTTTGCTTAAACTAACCTTGTAGAAACATATAAAAGCGAACATGAATACAGAGTGCAGGAACAATCAGATTGAATGGTACAACGAAAGATTGGGGCAGTGGGATTATAGGGGGTAGCTCCAGTAAGGGGGAAGCTAGACTGGGAAATACTGGGCTGAATGACCCTTCTTTCTGTGCTATAAACATTCAATAATTCTAAATTATTTGCTAGAAGTAAGGAGCCACCAATTGTTAGATATGCTTTCCAATCGCATGTATTTACCAACACCGCACTGGTCAGCCTCACCAATATTTGCGTTGACAGTGAGACTGGACGCTGTGGGCGTCGTGTGGGCTGCTCAGCACAGCATCTAGAGGTCTAGCGGGAGTCTTCATGGAAACTTTTGGAACCCTTACTCAGAGGCCACCATTACATAAAGGCCACTTTGGTCCAGTCCCCCGAGTGGTTGTTGGAAACAGGTTTGACTGAATTATCAGTCGTTAAACAAATTTAAATATGAAAAGTGGGCCTGAGAGAACACAAATGAAGCGGTGACTTTAGATCCACCTCCTCCACTCTTCAAGATAACTGCGCCACTTTGTACCAGTCTGTAGCAAGCGGATCAATTAGGCAAATCTGAATACATCTCGGCAAACTCTGAAGATGTTCCAATAATCCTCCTGAAATCGACACGCTCAGGAACTTAATGAGGAGATATTTGCCTTCAGAAACGGCTCCATCTTCACGGTTAAAATGAAATTATGCACCAAACAATACAGTGAGAAGAGCTGTGCTGTCTGCTCATCTTGTGCTGTCACATGCAATTCAACATTTAATGAGTATCCAGCATTAACAGAAGGCTTCAGCATGCAGTGGTACATTTTTATTTACAAAAAAACGTTCCAGGCCTGGTTTCGCCATCCCGCTCACATTTGGAGGACCAACTTTTATTTTTTAATCTCCAAAAAAAGGGCAAAAAGGAAAATGAACTGAGTTGCGACATACGATCACTGGAAATTCAGAAACAATTCAATAACTTTACACTTGTGAAAATATGTAGACAACCCTTTAGACATAATGAAATCAATGTCTTCATAGCCACGTTCAAACCTTCTACCCATCATCTACAGAGACACCTGATGTGCCTGCGATTCTGGACACCCTGAGCTCACATGCAATGGTAAAATTAGGTGGAAAAACTTAAATGCAGCCACGGCTATGAGATTTATGTAAACTCTACATCGTTCAGACTTCCAAGACTCGATTTCACCTGACCGTACACTAGCTATTCTGACATGCACAACCCAGGGCAGTTGTGAGACAAGTCCTCAGTGTATTTTTTTTATTCCTTTCACCATTTATAGATCGGTGCTGCTCATCTAATGTATTGGAAATTCGTTCTCCGTGTGCTGTGTGATCAACTTCGCTAATTCAGTAAATGATGGTAACACTGGAATCCGTGTGACTGAGTTGGGGATCTCAGCTTGGGGGCAGGGACTCTAAATCGGCCCAAAGGTTACGTGCCTGAAATCCAAGTATTTGTCAAAATAATGTGTGACTTCCCCCACTGTTCCCTTTAAGTTGCAAAGAATGGGTAAAAATGAACAGTCACAGCAATGCGACTGCTTTGGTCAGGGAACCGAGCACAGTTGCTCATGAAGGGTTTGACCCACTGCTGTGTTTTTCAGACAAATTTGGGTAAGGTTAATTCACTGGAGCATTCCCAAGGGCAACTCGATTTCTGTTTAAGCACTGCCCAGTTCCACAATAGTCATGACCTCTTCAATGTTGCTCAGTTTGCTTATTGGGGCAAGAAGGCAGATTATACCTCTGCACTTATCCTGGATACTGTGACATCTCATGTAAACTGCACACTTGCCAACTGACAGGTTCCCCCTACCTGCCCCCATCCCAATAAAAAAAATGCTATTGAACTAATTTCTGTATTGCAGTTTGTTTGTGTGTGCTTTAATCACAGACTGCCAGTCTAAGGATGTCACAGCACCGTGATACATTAAAAGACCCCAATATATAATGATAATAATAATAATCCTTGCTGTGATGATAATATAATTATCGTCAGAATCTGATGTGCTTAATAATAGCCGATGCCAATCGTGGTAGATGCAATAAATCAACAGGAATAATATTACATTCTTTGGAAAAACAAGACCAATGGAATTCTACTTCGACCATACATTTTAAAAAGATAGTCGTGTCCAGCTATCAAAAAAAGTCCTGGCCTGTCATTTCCGTGTCAAACAACTGTGAAATGTATAACAATTATGCCACAAACAAAGCTTTCTGTCAGTGAAAGACTCCCAGCAGGTGCTCTCTGTCTCCTGGGTATTTTAGGTTGATTTATTTCCTTCGCTATTTAACAGGTCTGGCGGCTGTCTGTTTTGGTGTTTTTAGAGGCCGGTTATATGCTTGCTTGCGTTTGCAAATACCATACTGCAGTGTGCAATCCTCGACAATGTCCACGTCAAACAATTCCCCAAATAAAAGCAGAAGTCGCTGGGCACACTCAGCAGGTCAGGCAGCATCTTTGGAGAGAAGAAAGTCTGTTAACTCACTTTCCTCTCTCCAGAGATGCTGCCTGACCTGCTGAGTGTTCCCAGCGACTTCTGCTTTGATTTCAGAATTACAGCAGCTGCAGTATTTTGCCGTCCCCCAAATAAAATCAGTCATTCACTTCATGGCTGTTTGAGGGACACTGTGGTGTGTAAATTGACTGCCACGTTCACCTACAAAACAGTCACTCCAATTTACAGTATATCCTGTGAAGCGCTTTGAGACATCCTTCTGATATGAAAGGCACTATAGCAAATCCAAGGATTATTATTATTATGGCAGGCAAACTCTTTTTTAGCCTTTCAGTGTATCTGGAGCTCATACAGAGAAGCTCCAAAAAGAGGCTGGTTAATTCCAATTCCACTGCCATTTCCCCGCATAGAATTATAGGACTTTTCAGCGTAGAGGAAAGACCTTTCTCTGTAAGAGCTATCTGTTGTAGTCCCACTTCCCTCATTGCCTTTTCTTCATGACCGGCTCTATTTGAATGTATTCACTGACTGCAAGACACAGCATTGTGCATGAAGGTTTGCTTTCAATATCACACGTTTCCATTCCTGTTGCTTGAATCAACCATTGCCTATTTGTTGAATCAACCAATGCAAAGTTAATAGATAAGGATGGCGATTGATATCATTGCCCTGTAGCTCAGTGGTTAGAGCACTCGCTTTGCAAGCGAGAGACCTGAGTTCAATTCCAGGCCGGGCGAAACCTTGGGCAAGTTTCCTTACTCCACACACCTAATAATAATTCCTCCAAAAAAAAAAAAAAATTGATCATTTTCAATCCATGACTGTTTGTGGGACACTGCTGTGTGCAATTGGCTGCCGCGTTCGCCCACAAATATACAGTCAATTCACTTTACAGTATATTCTGTGAAGTATATTTTGGGACGTCGAGAAGACGTGAAAAGCGTTATATCAAATGCAAGGATTATTATTATTATTATTGCTGTTTTGTCTTTATTGAATGAGTGCTAAATTGACCCCTCTCATGACATGCAAATACCTGCCAGGTTGCTCTCTGTCCACTTATTATGGTACTGAGGATAGAGGTGGGAGTGGGGAGAAAAGATGACTCATCCATCTGTGGATTTTCAACTCACACTTAATCCACATCTGGATTAGTAAGAGCCAGGTTTCTCAGGGATAAAGAGGCTTGTTTCCTGTTTAAGGCGCTAAACCATCAATTCTCGTGCCGTAGCCTTGGCTGGGTGGCTGTATTGCCACTGGCTGGGAGACATGAAGATGCTGATGGGAAAAAATCAGCAGAAAGTTCAGGAGATTTCATATAAAATAACTGCATAAAAGGTCTAAAATCCAGAAATCCAGACATATAACTCTACTGCCAGTAATTTGAATGCATATCCTTCCTCCCCACCCACCCCCTATCGCTGGTTGCTCTACATTGATTGAACATATCCCTGTATCATGTTGAGCAAAGCTTTGATGTGTTGGCTCCAAAGGATTTGTGAGTGGAACCCCTACTGTGCGAGTATGCCCTTCGCCCTGCACAAAGCTTTAATTTCTAAAGGAAAACACTTGTGAGAAAATCTCTTTGCAAAAAAAACTCCGGGTCAAAATGCATCAGTTGACTGTGATCCCACCCTCTCCAAAGAGAGCGTTACGAATGGAATGGTCAGCCACAACATTAGAAACAGCAAAATTAGAAGAGGGAATAGAGAAGAACAATGATGAGAGGATACCGGGAAACCATCGACTGTGGAGCAAACAGAAATTTGCAGGGAGTGGGTTTATTTGAAATGTAAAATTAATTGGTCGTTTACTTCATGGCTGTTTGTGGGACATTGCTGTGCATACATCCACCTAGAAAAAATACAGTCACTACACTTGCAGTGAATCCTGTGAAGAG